ATAGAGTAAACGTTTACCGTTACCTTTGGAAAAAGTCGATAACTACTTTGTTTTTTTATTGTGATATCGACAAATTCCAAAGATGAGCTATCGGAAAAGTGATAATATTGATATATGTCAAATTTCTCAAAATATGTTTTCGTTTTAGTAGACGTTGCACAATAGATGTCGATGCGCTCTACATACAATGTACAAATCAAAATGCATTGCTGGTAATCCACCAATAGATAGTGAATTCTTTCCTGTTTTGATCACTTCAGTCTTGTTCTCTCTGTGTCAAAGGCCGAGTAACAGATGTCAGGTTCGTAGTAAGGGTCAAGAAAATTCCGAGATAAACATTGTAAAAGGTTGAAACCCTCAGTCTGGCTTTTGGTAGATTGTTTATTTAACTTAGTCCCCAGTGATAACCGCAACGTCTACCAAGCTTAAAAGGAATGTAAGAAAACCCTAATGCTATTAAACATAAACACGATGCGTCCAGTTGATTAATTGATTTGATCAAATTTTTCCATTTTGAAGACTTGATATCATGTATTAAAAGATCATAGTTTACATATTTCGTTGCATTGAAATGATTATACCAATTGTAGAATATTTTGGATTGAATATTCATAGCCGTATAATTAGTATAAAATAGTAGGGCACCTTACTAAATACCCCAATATAGGTAAAACTCCGTCATCCGTGACAAAAAAAAATGTGTCCACATCCGGTGCGCCTGAATTACCATTATACCGTGATTGCACAATTGCATCCATTCTTTTCCATTCAAACTAGTGTCTGACTATCACCAAGACGCGTGATCGCCGGTACATCTGCAAACAATAATTGTGTTTACAAATATGCCATGGCTATCCCAACATGATAAAGATGGTCTCTTACAATGCGCATGAGAGGAAGCACTCAGCAGCAAGTCTCTACTGAATTCGGCGTTTAGAAATCAACTATAAGTCGGCTAGCTTAACGTCTCAGCGCCGTGGGAAGGATTGATGTCCGACCGAGATCAGGACGTCCACGTGTAACGTCGCGACCTCAAGATATGTTCATTAGGCTTTCCCACTTGCTTGAATGGACATAAACGGCCCAAAGTAGTATTTGTAATGGAAATCGCCGAATCCATGCAAAACTGTGAGAAATTGACTGTTAGAGGCAAATTTACATCCACGTCGCTAGTGTGTTGGTTTGCCACTGACACCTCAACGTCAAGCACGTCGTATGTGATTGCTGACGTCACATGTAATCAGATTTGAAGGCGGATCGGTTATGGTTTGTGGAGGAATTTTTCATGGAACAAAGACTCGTATAGTAATCATTAATGGAAAAATTAACGGCTGCACGTTATCGTTATGAGATCATGAGGCCTCATATTGTGCATTTTACCATAAGGCACCATTTGACCTTTCAGTATGATAACGCTAGGACACATGTTGTCAGAGTTTCTAGAGACTTTTTTGAAACTCATCTTTTGAATGGCCTCTATATAGCCCCAATTCGTCTTCTATCGAACACTTACGGGATGAATTTGACAAAAGATTTCGGAAACGAGCAAACATCCCAAACCACCTCCGCCAATCAGCTAACGCACTCATCGAGAAATGAATTAACAATCCCCTACGGCGATCAATGTCCTTGAAACTTTGTGTACACTTGGTTACCATATGGCTGCTTAATGAAGTCTTCTTTTGTTAATTATCTCAGACAATTTGAAGACGGATGGTACAAGTTAGCTATTTCATTCAAATGTAGGCATATTGCTTATACATATTATTTTATTTAAGCATTGAATCTTGCTTTTGTCGATTTCATTGGGTGATGAATTTATGAACTTATACTGAGTTCTACGGTCGCTTCTCGCTTCGCATCGAACTGGGCCATTTTGAATTGTCGTGTAGTGTGTATTGTTACCTTTTTCCTCATTAGCTTATGGTAGCAGTACACAGTGTGGCCTTGGGGGACTTTTTGTTCATTAGATTACCCCATTATAAAGGATTTAATTAAAATTTAAAAAATAAATCCTTGCTTAATTGGTCTTGTCATGTTGAGGTGGACAATGTGGGGTTTCATCTTTTTCAGAATTATATTTTAGCTTTGTGTTTGACATTTCTATTTGGGCAGTCTCGAATCTGTGTCTACGCACCAAAAACCAGCTTTACAGGAAGTAAAATTTTCATAGTGTTTACATGTGGCCATGTTATGAAGGATTTCCGAGTTGGAATTTGCTGAAATGTAACTACTTTTTTTATTTTTACCATGACAGTGTTGTTGATTTTAAGATTTGAAGTGTATATAATTAAATTTCTTCTATTAAATGTAGTGTTAGGTTGGAATTAGCAGTATCTTTGCATTTTTCACATTTTGTCAGAAGGTAACCATGACAATCATATGTCAGAAATCAGAGGAAATTTTTGATTTACACAAATTTTATCTCTCCATTATTGATGTAATTGTTATGCAGTTTATAAATCTATATACATGTAATGATTTGTTTTTTCATAACCAAACTGCTATACCTGTATATCTCAAACAATGACCAATAATTTCAGGGAAAATGCAAATTTATTGTTTCCTGCTACCTATGTATCCATAGCACCAAGAAATTAGTTGTGAAGCAGTTTTGTATCAGTATCAGTTAATATGACGTATTCCTAAATAGCAAGCATTGTTCATTTTTCTTCGTTGTATGCAGTCCAATAACTTTAACTACGTTCATGTCTCCGGAAAATGTCACGTAAGTGAAAACATTATCGCCAACTTAGATTGTCCGTAAAGTATTCCTTGTAAGTTGCACATAATACAAGTTTTCCATTCAAATTTAGAATTAAACTAGAACCAGATATTTGCTGCATCATACAGCTGTTTCGTCTTTCCAGGCTCGTCGGTGTTGCTAAGGAACCTAATTTCAAGTTAACCATAGGAGGCGACTGAGGAAAACCAACACTGATCGAAAGAAATATCGAAATCTAGAAAGGTAGCAAGGACAACTTCGTCTCAGTGATTGTTACTATAGCATGGAGACCGTTTACCTATGAAAGGTTTTAAGTAATGCAATTTATTATCGGCATATTGATTCCATTCATCCTGCCACAGATCTGTTAAATTGTTTGATAGATGGTTTGAAATCAGTAAAATGAAGATGGCAGCGATAAAGCTGCCTTTGCGGCACGAGCTGCTTTTTCATTTCCTGGTATTCCCATGTGCCAAGGAACCCAGCAAAAACAATACGAAAGTTTGAGGCAAGTCCATGATTTAGTATTAATGTATTACATATGAAAATATTTTCGATATTTCTATTGCTAAGATTTTCTACTACAGAAAGAGAGTCTGAATAGATATCAGCTCTCTTTACTTTGTTTGTTTGAATATATTCAAGTGCGAGGTAGATAACTCGTGCTTCCGCCGAGAATATTGAGGCATAGTTGTTGGGTAGCCATAATCCATGGGCTTCGTCTTGTGTAACCATGACTACTTCAACCTTATCATTATCTTTCCTTTCCATATTAATATAGAGGAATGCGGAATGAATGCCGTGTAATAGGTCGTTTCGCTATATCAGTAATTATCAATAATCCTCTAATTGATGATTAGAAAAAAAGTTCAATACTTCGATTTTTCGAGGTAGTATAAACATGAGTCCAGATTTAAGTGTGACAATCAGATTTGTTCTGATTTTTTTTTTATCAAAACGAAACGTATTTTGATAGACATGTTTGCCATTGGGTTTCTCATATGCAAATATCTGCAGAATTCAATAGTGATCAATTGTTTCTTAATCAAGGCATTTTTAATTTGCAATATTGAAGTGGCAATAAAAATGTGTATTTGACTTTGTATGACAATATATTTTGCGATTTCTTCGTTCGCTTTCAAGACCCGTTGTGAACATTGTAGAAATTAAATTAATACAGTATATTGACCAAATCATTTCTTTTATTTCTTTCATTGTCCATTTAGATAGGACTTAAAAAATTCTTGTTGTTGCGTATACAATAACTATAAAGTATATTTGATACACAGGAGCTTGGAGATTTTTGGAGCAGTGTTACTTGTTCATATAAATCATCATATGATGCCACTAGTAACTTCGTCCGTCTAACGGAACCCACCAAAACAGCCCCAGGATGTCAGACTAACTTTCTAATATTCTTTATCATATAATTTAATCTTTAAATGTAGGTATATCGTTTGGAGCATAACATATTCCAATGGCCAACATAAACGAATTGTAGGGTTGAATAGTAGGAAAGGAATGTTGATATATCAAAGATGCCAAGTCACTCTGTGATTGAAATCGACAGATAAGTTTTGTCACAGAGGTCTTTAATTTTTGAGCTGCATTTTAACGAGCACATGAGTTGTCGAATCATACATAAACACGGTCTGAATATAACAAAAGAATGGTTATTCAAGACCCTTAACAACACACTCCACTAAACAACAGTGATATGTAGGGGCGGTACTAAGAGGCTTCATAGTTTGACGACAGAACAATGTTTCTAGACTGGAAAGTATATGTTGGACCTTTACTAACTTAGAATCTTTTAAGACTTCATCACGTGCAGTTCAGGTATGTCTGGTGTATCTTTTGTACAATTTTCACATGTTGACATATATTCAAAAGTGCTATATATCATTGCAGGCACGCTTATCGAAATCACATGAAATGTCTACTTTGTAACAACATCTACATGCAAATCCCGGAATCTTTGTATAATCGTATGCGAAATTGTCGCTTACAACGTGTTTTCAAGAGGATTCAAATTGTTAATCTATTCATTTGAAATCGAATACCTTTTCAAAAACAAATTGAGCACATGGAATGTTTTTACGAGATATATAATTTGGATTTGAATTAGAGACCATTAAGTTATCAATACGACTGCATTGCTTAGCTGTTAAGATTTATATCATATTAGGCGATGTGAAATCGAGCCTTATACTAACTGTCCTGATATTATTGTTTAATTATAAATTGTTTCTTGTTTATTTCAGAAATAACGACAATGAAACTTTGTATGTTCACACTTCTGTTTGTTTCTGGTTTTGTCGATGATATTCTCTGCACTGATTATAGAATTGTGCACACCCCGTCGGGGCCCATTAGAGGAATAGGTGTTCCGTATGAAGGTGAAACAGTGTATCAGTACAGAAATATCCCTTATGCGAAACCACCAGTAGGAGATCTAAGGCTGCAGAAACCGGTACCACACCAAATATGGACAGATATTTTCGATGCAACAGTTTTTGGACCTTCATGTCTTCAAGATAAAGACCGTATTAAAAATCTAATTCCTAAACTGCCAAATCCCAACTTTTCTGAAGACTGTTTACAGCTTAACGTCTATACACCGAGCACAGTACTACCACAAGACAGAAAGAGCGTCATGATATGGGTTCATGGGGGTGCCTTCTTATTGGGACAAGCTTCATATTTTGATTCAACACGTCTCGTAACTAGAGGGGATGTAATAATTGTTACGCTGAATTACCGTCTTGGAGCACTAGGCTTTCTCAGCACTAGCGACGATGGAATGCCTGGAAACTTTGGTCTTTGGGACCAGAGACTAGCATTTCAATGGGTGAAACAAAACATTGCATCTTTTGGTGGTGACCCCAACAGTATTACAATATTTGGGCAATCAGCGGGGGCTTTTAGTGTTGGCCTCCATGCCATGATGCCTATAAACAGAGGCTTATTTACACGAGTAATTTCCGAGAGTGGAGGACTGGACTCCAAAATAGCAGTACGACAAGATCCAAAACCCATCACATCAGAATACGGTCGTGTAATCAACTGTACGCAGGGGACAGACACGGATACACTTGTACGGTGTCTGAGAGGGAAAACCTTCTATGAAATAATAGAGGCACAAAATAGTTTGAACTCTTCTTTTTATGGAGGTGACTATAATCTTGAATTTATGCCAGTTATTGATGGCGTTCTGATAAAAGAAATGCCAGGCGCACTACTTTCAAATTTCTCATCAGAAGAATACAAATTCTTTAAATCACTAGACATCATATTCGGTACATCAAGCAACGATGGGGGGATAGCAGCAACCATTGTCGCTAATCGTCTTCAAGAAAAGTATCGATTCAACACCACACTTGAGATACCTACTGTCGTGCTACGTGACGAAATTGCACCAAAACTTGCTGAACTATTCTATAATAACAATGAACATGTGTCACGTGCTATTTTTGACATGTACAGCAGTACGGATACTCTAGAGCAGAGTAAAAATGTGTTGAATTTGTTCACTGACTACACGTTTCTTTCAGCAACAGTAAGTGCGCTTAACTCTCACTCAGCAACTAGCATCTCCCCAGGCAAAAACACATTCCAGTATATTTTTTCAGGACATGGAGCCATCGCAGGGTCATATGTATTACCAGTATATTTCACAGGAGCATGGCATGGAGCCGAATTACCTTTCTTATTCGGCCAAATTGGACCGGGAACTGCATTGAACAATACAGCAAATAACAGAGCTTTAGCAGACATGGTTGTTTCCTATTGGACCAACTTTGCCAAACATGGGTAAGCTTAATGATCAATGAATAGTCTTAACATGGTGTCATTACATGTATTAAATGATATTGTTCCTGCCATATGACCAGGAACGTCTTCAATATTACAGAATATGTTTTCGATTTTGTCTGTGCTGAATTCCAGTGTTCCTAATACGCTTTATATATTTACTGCCAGTTTCGAATTGCATACGGTTTATACGGTGTAATTTCATGTTGACACCGTCACATGAAAATTAGTGATTATTTGAGTATAATCATTCTTTATTTCAAAACACCATTCAAGCAAATCTAAGAAATGAGATATATATATGGACATTTCCATTGATATCAACAATATTGAATGAAATGTCATTAATTTGATGCAACGTCTTTTTTTAATTATACAGCAATCCCAATGGCCAGGGGCTTCCTATTTGGCCTACCTACAACCCAATCACAGCTGAATTTCTGAATATCAGCGTAACCCCGTCAACAGGAAGTCACGTGGCCGAGGACAGAATGAGGTTTTGGAATAAGTATATCCCATCACTTTTAGAATTAGGAGCTAGCGCCATCGTGGGAAAATAAACTTTAATCTGTAGAACTCTTCCGTTTTGCTGCTAAGTTAAATATCCACATGCCAACCTGTTGGACGTATCAGTAGGAAATGACTACGAATAGAACGACGGTTTTGACAAACGCGCATGCGGTATTTCCAGACACAGCACATCAGGATGAGTCTGCAGACGATTAAATGGGATACCAAAGCACTCGGAAATAAGCCTAATCTTAAAGTAAGCCTGCAGTTTCTTACATAAATAAGTCTGTGCTGACTACTACATAATTAAAGTTAACCCCTAATTTTTAGGGGTATGTATATTGCGGCAAATGTTTCACATTCATTATTAAAATATTTTTCTAAATATAAATAAATACCTTGCTTGTGTATAGACTCGTCATTTTTGTCTTTCTTCACACTCGCCAAAATACAGCTCTTTATATTTCTTCAAAGGTGAATTATTTCAACGAGTTTAATAAAATTTGCTATTGTGTAACATGTTTTTTTTTCTGGTGAATGTTTGAGTTTAACTGAACATTCTGCTATGAGTTTTAGCGCATTATTAAAGCTATCTGTAATCATTACAACATATCATCAAAGCTAGCATGCTATTGATATCTGAAATGCTGAAGTCAGGTATCATAACGGCGTGCCATATCAACACAAGATAGTAATATATCTAGGATCTACCAGCTGTGGTCTCCCAGTTACAGTACGGTAAGGAATGCTACGATAAGTGATAGTGCTACGACAAACTTTGGAAAGGTAATCTGGTATTTTATTCGATATCTTTGTAACCTAGCTGACAATATTTGTGTAATATGTGACTTATGCATGACTTTGGCATGTTCTAATTGATTTGCTACCATAAAGTATTAATACATCATATATAAAACGATCCACAATGTTATCATATCTTAAGGGTATATGCTACCTTACACACGTGAAACACGTGATATCCTATCTAATTCATAGATTGTGTAACACCTGTGCGACAACTCTGAAAACACTTTTCTACACATTACCTCTTTTGGGGATTGCTGAAGGAAATCATAAGGGGTTTCATAATTTAGACAAAACATTTGGGTAAAATTGTTTTACTTTGAAGTTGAAGAATACAAATGAAATAAAGGAGAAAAATCACTTCCATTCTCCCTTTGTACTAATTTTATTTTTCTCTTTGTAATGTTAGTGTATCATATGGGAAAAATACAAGTATATAAATGTATATTTATTAGTAACATGGTTTTCACATGAACAGCCCAGTTTGATGAGATTTTGTAAGGCTACCCTTCTGCAAGACTTTTCTAGTTCAAAACTCTTGAATCGCATGGAATGTAATATCATGAAGAACGTTAATGTCCTCAACGTTACATTTTAATCAGTTTGAAAGAGAACTTCATATTTTCAATTATTTTTTTTATGATTCAAGACCAATAAGAGAAAAGCTTTTCATTGATCTGTGATGTATCTCTATATTTCGCTGGCAAAAATGTAATCAAGACAATTTGTCATTTTTCATTAACGTATATTAACTTAATTTATCATACATTTACGAACGATATTTCTGATTTCCAACATCTACAGATGTACACGAAACAGGTTTTGATGATGTTGACTTTGATTACGGCGATCAACTTGAAAAGCAAGTCAGTACCTATCGTCAAAACAAACCTTGGTCTTATCGAGGGATTAACAAAAAACATTGGTAATAAGCAGATAGTAGAGTTCAGGGGAATTCCATACGCTAAACCTCCAACAGGAAAATTCCGATTTCGAAAAACAGAAACCATTGATCCTTGGAATGGCATTTTAGATGCCACCAGTTTTGGACCAGCATGCATACAGAAGATACCAAATACAGATATCTCTGAAGACTGTTTAGCATTGAACATTTATGTTCCTGGAGACATATCATTTAAGATAAGAAAAAGTGTAATGGTATGGATTCACGGAGGAGGATTTTATAGCAGTTATGGTTCACTGTACAACGGATCATCTATTGCCCTATATGGAGAAGTAATTGTGGTGACAATAAACTACCGGCTTGGAGTGCTAGGATTCCTGAGTACGGGTAACGAAGATCTCCCAGGAAATCTTGGGCTCTGGGATCAACACCTTGCCTTAAGATGGATCAAAGACAACATCGCATCATTCGGCGGTAATTCTGACTCGATCACATTATTTGGCACATCTTCAGGAGGGGCTAGCGTTTCTCTCCATTCTCTCATTCCTCGTAACACGAACTTGTTTCAAAGAGTGATTGCACAAGGTGGATTGGCGAATTCATATATCGCCTTTGTGTATGATCCCTTGTTCTACGTAGAAAAACTTGGGGAATTACTGGGTTGTAAGAATGATACTAACGTGCCTTACACGAAAGTGTTGGTAAGTTGTATCAATGAAACCTCAACAGAGGCTATTTTGACAGCACAAGAAGCTATGCCGTGGCACAGAGGTGACAGAGCACGGTACGAACTGATGTTTGGTGCAGTTTTGGATGGGGATCTCTTTACAAGCTACCCTGAAGAAATGCTGAGTGATATAACATCTAAACCATTTCAACTTTTCCGTTCTATAGATTTTCTCGCCGGTGGAACAGACAAAGAGGGATCGATGTTCTACGATATTTTCTCTGGCCCGTTATCGAAAACTTTTAATTTCAACCCCATGGATGGCTTGCCACCAGATATTGTGGGTGGTTATTTAATCCCTGGTTTGGTGAAAGATCTGTTCCCAACTTGTCTACATAAGCGAGTTCTGGAGCAAGCGATCTGTGAGAAATATCGCGGTTCTGACGATGAATCCTGGGCAAATAAAATGCTTGATTTATACGGTGATCTATTTTTCAATGTTCCCGTGGTTCAATGGCTTGCTGTGCATTCGAAGGGCAATGTAATAGCACATAGCTACCAGTACCTATTTTCACATCATTATACGTCGAAAGAAGACTCGAATCTACCAGAATGGTTCACTGGTACTCCGCACTCTGCCGAAAAATCGTTCTTATTTCAGGGGACCTGGGGATCGAGTGAAAAAAAAATTGATTTTATCCAAGAATATCATAACACATTGGACAAACTTTGCAAAATATGGGTAAGAAAACTCTGAGAATTAAAGAAATGTAGCTTATGTATATACGAAAACATATTAGGAAATACAACCTAAATGTCGCAATGTACTTGCCTCTAATCAATGTGTACAGTTTTATTACGGAATCTAGCAACATGTTAATTTAACAACAAATACAACATTTATTAAAAAAGTAAAGTAAACATAACAGTATAAGCACAGATTATATAGTGAATTAAGATATTAAATTCTTTCACATTTTCTGTGATATTTGAATGTTCAAGATAAAGAGTCGGAGGAGATTTATAATGAACTGAATTTCCTTTTCCATGATATCACCAAAAACGAAAACAATAAACATAGTCATAATCCGAACTCAATTGCAATAAAACAAGGGCAAAATGAACAAAACCATTTTTACACTAAGACTCCTAAAAAGTACAAGAGAATAAGACCAAGTGTTCCAAAAGAGTAAACGTCTTCTGCTTCAACGACGACATCCAACGTGTAAATATTGGTCGATCCAAGTAATTAATGTCGTGTTCTCAAAATGTAAGTCTGCAACAACGGACCCCTCTGATGTGAATTTGTCTGTCAGTTGACGACATCTTGCACGAAAATTGTGATATTGGGAACAGGCCATTGAATATCGAATCAACTGCAACACATAAACACCATAGATTGGGGATGCAGGGTGTTGCTATCCAGAAATAAAAAAAATATCCCGCTTACTATGCAAGTAAAAGAGTCTGTCGTTTCCTTGTTTTTTAACTCAACTGAAAGGGAAAATGAAAGACTTCGCAAGGTCTTTGTAACTTGTTTGGAAATAAAAACAAGTCAGGCGACATAGGGTCACAGTTAGTCCCCGTTGGTATACCACTTGTCTGTTGGCAGATCGTCAGAGTAACATATGTAGCCCTTGTTTCATAGATTTTTGATTTTGGACTAAGATTTCTTACGTTATCCTCTTATTTTAGTTATACGATTTCAATGTAAATCAACAGCTAGATTACGACTGCACATGATCTTAATCCAAATAACACGTCATAATTTTTTTTGTACGCATTATTGAAAGAATAGTTAATACAACATTGCTTAAAGTTGAAAAATGTTATTCAACTCGTCAATTTTGTTTCAGAAATCCAAATGACGGCACTCTACCCACATGGCATACATTTAACGAGAGGGACAGACACTTTTATAATATAAGCTTCGAACCAGCCTCTTCTACACAGGTTTTTCGGGACAGAGTATCATTCTGGATGCTAGAAATTCCGAAAATTATCAAGACAGCGTGCCAACATCAGGAACTATAGTTGTTAAACGCCAAACACTGCCAATCTTCTCAAAGCTATATTTCACTGGGGATTTTTTTAGAGTTATTGTCATGTTCATTTACGAAACCGCTTCAAAAGCACTTTGACTTACATATCTATCTCCGAATATATGACATTAATAGATACGCCAGTAGCAAAACGATTATCAATAAAATTTACTCAAGTTATATGAGAAGATATCACTAATAAAGGTTGTAGATAATGACAGGTGGTCGTAATACAGAGCTGCATTTGAGTATAAATAATAGTTATTTAGCTGATGACATGTGATTGATAATACATATGATAATAGTCAGGTGGTAGTTTTAATAAAAAAAAAGATGATACACAAAGACATTTGTCCGAAACAACAATATAAATGAATCCCTCAATCTAGATTTAAAATCTCATGTGGGTACATGGTACATGTTCAGCGACAAATGTATGTTATCGTTAAGGTCTACAATCAGACACCAAGTCACACTGAGTGCAGGACATCATAGAACGTACGATATATCAGTGGACAGTCGGTTATACACAAGGTAAGTATAAGAATGACATAATTTTCATCTAATAGAAATTTTGTTCGCTTTCATTCAGGACATGTTAAGGATATACATATGCATATTTCACCTGATAATTGTGATATGCGCTTCTCTCAAACTTTACAAATACATTCTGTTACACGTATTTTGCAGCTTGCACGTGCGTTTATTCTGTATACGTCAACGTTCACTTTAGGATCATGTTATCGCTGTATGTAACATCTTGTCATAGTCCTACTTTGCCACACCAAGATAACGTCGCCACGTCATACATATTCCAGGTACCATGTACTACAGTGCAGTTAATCGGGTTTACAAATATCACTTGCGTCATCAATTTTCACACACATTTAAAGTGTCAAATCTCTCTACAACCTCCAATATTTGATAATCGAAAAGTTTGAGAGAAAAGTAAATTACTTACCTATTTGTGATTTCGACGTCAACCACCTTAAAACTTAAGACATTCTAAACATCGGTTTTAGACAAACACTTCAGTGGCATCATACATAGATGAAAAATTATGTTATTTCATTGTATGGGTCCGCTCTTTGTGAACATTTCTAGTCTCGTGCTTGCCAATTTAAAAATACCCTCTTTTGTTGAAACCCCTATCTTGACAGGACAGGGGCGTTTTGAGACACTTTTGTCATGAAATTTCTATAAATGGCAGTCAAACCTGGTTTGTTATGAATCGTTCATACAGGAAATTATATATCACATTATAACATTCAAATTGCTGAATGAGAGAGATGAATTCTAAAACACCATATTATAACATTGGGTGGTCGGGAGCTGCAGCAATGGTGCACTTTCATCTAGACACACTTGGTTCTATCTGACGTAAAAAGATATAGGGTTCAGCTGTCCGACCACCTTGTTCTTCTCCGGTTTCTTACTACAGTAAGAACCCTCGCGAGGTCCCATCCTGAACAATAAGAGTGATTTATACAGTAAATATGACTTGATTCATAATTGATGGAAAATAATTAAAGTTGATAATATCATAAACATTTTTCTCTTTTTTTTTCTAGAATTTCTCAGTATGTTGCAAGTTTTAGCACAGTTATTCGTTGCATATGTCCTGGTAGCTAAAATAACTGGACAAAACACAAAAATCATCACAACTCCCTCTGGACAACTGCGGAGTCTCGTCACTCAGGTCAATAACACCACAGTTTATCAGTTCAGGAACATTCCATACGCAAAACCACCAATTGACGACCTCCGGTTCGCCAAACCAGTGGATTATGGCCCTTGGGTGGGCATCCGTGACGCAACAGCTTACGGTCCAGCGTGTATTCAGGGCGTTACAGGGAGTAAACGTCAGAGCATCTCTGAAAATTGTTTGACCCTGAATGTATATGTCCCAACCAACATACATGGTAGCAGGACAGTCATGGTTTGGATACACGGTGGTGGGTACATCAAAGGAGACGCCGCCATGTTTGATGGGTCGTATCTCGCTGTGCGTGGCGAAGTGGTGGTTGTCACCATTAATTATCGCTTGGGTGTTTTGGGCTTCCTCAGCACCTACGATAAAGTCCTACCTGGTAACAATGGCCTTTTGGACCAGCAATTAGCACTGAAGTGGTTACAGAATAATATACAAGCGTTTGGGGGCAATCCCAATTCTGTAACGATATTTGGTGAATCCGCAGGTGGATTTAGTGTTGGTTTACAATCCATAATTCCCCAAAACAAAGGACTCTTCCACAGGGCTATAGCTCAAAGTGGGGCCGCGCCTTCGTTTGTAAGTATTGCTCATCAACCTCTATTTTTCACTGCTGCCTTTGGAGAAACTGTTGGATGTCGCTTCACTTCCGTCAATTCGTCAACCTTTTTGAAATGTCTCAAAACCAAAACAGCGGAACAGATTTTGAACGCCCAGATCAATGCCTCAACCCCGGCGTCCGTAATTCCATTTTCTTTTGGTCCAGTTATCTCCCCTGTAGTTGACGGAGAATTGTTGCCGGATGTCCCATCTGTCCTAATGAAGAATAGATCTTCAGAATCTTATAAGTTCTTCCGATCTCTTGATTATATTGCAGGGAATGTCAACCGAGAGGGTTCAATTCTCATCCAAAAATATCTCCAAAATTTCTCACAAGTTTTTCATTTCGATCCAGAAAAAGGAGTACCAAACAATGTTGTGTGTGACGTTTTGGCCCCCGCTGCTGTAAGTGCACTTTTTAAAAATATAGTTAAAAACAGAACAACTGAAAAGAAAATCTGTGACGAATACAGAGATAATGATCCCGAAGCAGAAGGAAATAAAATGGCCGATTTATTTGGGGACGCTTTTTTCGTGGTCCCGTCTGTAGAAGCTCTTGATATTCACTCTGACGGGAATAACATAACCAGCACTTTCCAGTACATATTCAACCGACGAAATCCTGCCATGAAAGGGAATGGACCATATCCACAGTGGTTCGAGGGAACTCCCCATGCATCTGATAACATATACCTCTTCGGAATTCAGCAATTGGCGCAACGAATTAACGTCTCTGATGCAGATCTGAATTTGTCTACACATGTGCAACAATACTGGGCCAATTTCGCTAAAACTGGGTAAGATATTCTTTAGCACAAAACAATCAATTTAATTTGATTTTAAGTCCTCATTGTTTTTTCTTGACAGTATTAGTTTATATTCGAAAGTATTGCAATATTTCCACGTATGGATTAAAGGAATGAGATGTTCGGTTTCAGCTTTTATATTGTGTTTGAACATGCCATCAACAGCTATGGTTGTCCAAGGATGGCTTCCCTACGTATGCGAGGTACCCACATGTGTCAAGCGCGCGTTTAGACAAAAAAAAAAAAATTCAGAGTTACGCAGTAGCGACGAGACTTTTTGTTTCATTAAACGTCCATCTTGTCCCTCTTTCCTCTTTGCATGAAATCAAACCGAATAAACCTGTACGTAAAAAATAAACCAAAATTGACATACGGATCATGCGTTGAATACATTCTTTTTCGTCGTTTTGCTACAATGATGATTTGGTACTTGGTTGACAATCGATATACTCGTTGTTTTGTATTTACAAGACCGCATACGTAAGTCCAAACACCATGCTTATTATGGATGAATGAAAACATGCATGTACCCTTAATCATGATATAATGCAAGGCAAGAGTTAATATCTATAAAAAAACGAACTTGAGACAGTATTGAAAGCTTCATTCAAGGCCTCGCGCTCCGGTCTCTCCCATGATTGGTTTACGAAATGAACAGAATTCTCCAAGATATTTTGGAATCGGTTATCTGCTTCATCTTAATCTACTAGATCAGAAACATACAGGCTTCTAGATACATCACGCTTTTCCACGTCAAGTGAATCTAGACTTTTTTAACAAGATACTGGTACCTGATTTATTAAGCAATATATTCGAAGGTCCTTACACGTTCCATCGATCGAGACATCGTAAGTATCATTAAGATGTGCCAAACTTTTCTTGCAATACCTTTGTGCTTCGAAACCGAAATGACTACCGATTTGAATCACTACCTTCATTCAATATCGATCTACAAATAACTTACGTATGAATATTTTAACTTGTTATATAAGCCGACTTAAATAGAGTGATCAGCAGTCGACGAGAGGCTACTGAAGTTGTGATCTTTATTTTTTTCTCTCAGGTTGAAAGATTTCTCTGCCTTGTATTTCTCTTGACAATTACCTTTTGGTCTTAAGCGTTGGCCAAAGTGACAAGACTGTTGTTAGGCCCTCAAACTGTGACATACTTGCTCGTCATGTTGTATTCAATGGGGCGCAAAAGTCCCATTAAAAACAAACTCTTTACTTTTTTCCAGAAACCCATTCTCAAATGGTTCCATGGTCTGGCCATATTATGACAGCACCAGAAGGACATACCTCAACTTGGACGACGTGATTTCAACAAAAGAACATGTCTTTGCAGAGAGAATTTCGTTCTGGACAGAAGAATTGCCAGTTCTCTGAAGTGCTGTGTATAAGACTTTATACTTGTTGAATTGTTCTCATCCAATCAATATAAAAAATAAAATTTTCAGATAAAGAAGTTCGTTAATCAGTGTTTCTATTAATGAAACAAAATTTAGCTCGTAATATCATATCTCTTTTAAAACTGGTTGTACAAACTTTTGATAGCGTGCATGTAATTTATTCAAGTGGAACTGGACAATTTTATTGTAAAACTTATTGAAAGTATCAATAATTCCTGCCCAGCAAGCTTTCTTGAGATTAGTTTAATGGACCAATAGCCATAGATATTTATTGTATTTATTTCATTTATATAACTTATCGAGTTGTTTAAGATGCGACGAGTAAACTTGCAGATCAAAGCATAGTGTCGAAGGGAACTGAATCCTGAGGATAGATTTTCCTTATAAATACAACATAACGTTTTTATTTTAATTATGATATTTTAAAGAGTTAAAGATATGAAAATGTTAATTTGCAATAATTTCCATGTACAGTGTATATGTATCAATATTTGTAATGTGAAGATGAGCATTTGCTATACATGTTAAAATAGATGTAAAAGCAAGGAAGTAAATGTCATTTGCAGTGCATGTGTTATCTTGCAGTTTCTGTGACATACAGTAAAGAGTTAGGAAATAGCATAAGTTTACTTTAAAGGGTAAAATCAATATTCCCATAGATATCTCCAAATATTGACCAAACACTATATATGATGTTAAAAAAGTATTTTGAGGATTTGATTTCTATTTCCTCAAGAGGGTTTTTATAAACAAAAGGCCCAGAGGGCCTGTACCCCTCATCTGGAAATCTAAGTAAATAATGCAAAAACTTCCCCTGATGAGCCTCACAACCCACAGATACAGCTTCAAATTCCCTAGGGTTAGGGACAGAGGTCAGTTGTTAATCCCACGATGTTTAGTAATGCTATTAAGTTATGGGATGGAAACATGATGCTTCAAAGAAATAATCGGTCCTGGGGTGGGACCCAACATTGGTTAAACTTTACATAAGGATGCTTCAAACCAAATTTGATTAACATCATTCATGAATAGTTGCAATATATAGTAAATGTTGATAGATGACAGATGTCATGGTATCCCTTCAGTCAGCAAAGCTAAAAACAAAATCAAATGCATAACATGCAATATATTCAGATAAGAAGTATTGTAGTACAAATACATTAAAACCAAATGCAAACTTTGCACCATACTGTTGGCAAGTTTACTATTATTCAGGAGAGTATTCATAAACCAGGGATACAAATTTACAGGTGAATTCGGTCACTATATTCAGTTTTTTTTTTACTCTGCACAGACTCATATGTTGACTACTGGTTAAACTGGGTCCTAATTTACAGACTGTCCTGAAGTTTGTTGAGTCTTTTTAAGTGTCATCAATACCTTTCCTATTTAAAGTAACATTGGCCTTGAACTTTGAACCTGAAAAGTAATACCAAGCAAGCACTTTTGATAAAAAGCACTGTATGAAATTTGAGGTTGATCAAACAAATTTTCTATTTATATTTCCAATGACCTTGCCCTTTGACGTTCGGATCTGAAAAGCAATCCCAAGCAAGCACTTTTGGTAAGGATGCAGGGTATGAATTTTGAGCTTGATCGACCAAAGTGGACTCAAATTACCTTGAAATAATTGTGTGGACGATGGCACTGCCGACACTGTAATACTTATATGCTGTCTTAGGCAGGCAGGCGATACAAAAATTGGACCAGCATTGATCTACTTAAGATAAGCACTCAGTCTATTTTCAGTGGAAAACTCCTGTCTATGAACACTGAAATTATGAGTCAAAACAATGAAAGTCTGATGATATCATAATTATATTTCCTCATTCAGTTTGACAGGCATACATATCACATGTAATTTCTGTACCGCTAGGTACTACATAAATGTAACACAATAAGGTACTTTCTCACACAGCATATTCATCTGGGGAAGCTAGCTTTTATGTGGTTGGATCATAATGGCCGGGATGATCAAGATCCAAATCTGGTGCAAGTGTATAGAAAAAACCACTCCAATTAAATAAATTTTGAAAGAAGAAAATATTAATAAAAATTTCCAATAATTCAATCAATAAGAAAATAATCACAACTATAACATTTTGCCATTTAAAAGAATATAGTTAATGACTTAACCCATGAATTACCGCTGAACAAAAAACTTCAACCTCATAAAAGCAATGGCCCCAATGGACAATATTAACAAACACATATTCTCACAAGGAACATTCTTAATGCAACAACTATTTCTTACTAACTATCCTATCTAATGAAGCAGAGCGATTACATACTGGCAGTCATAATGATATAACTTACTATGTACAACTGTATACAAAATACTGACAATTATACTGTTTTTTAATCAATCATCAACAGAATCAATCTTTGCTTCAATTTCACTTCTTCATTTCAATCAAGTATTATGCATGCAGTATATTTAAATAATATCATGTATTGTCATTAAAGATCATTACTTACTTGCAATTGTTGAAAATCTATATTTTCAGATAGCTAGCATGGGGTTTGGAGATCATATTCAGTTGCACTATTCTTTAAAGAACATGTAACATACAACTGGAAAATTATCATAATTCCTTAGACCTATTTCATATATACCTATTTTTTAATGAAATATGTCAAAGAATTTCCCAATACTTAACAAAATTTATCTTAAAAATTTTATTATGTCATTAATTTCATTTGGAACCAAAAGCTCCATTTTCTCAGAAGAAAAAATGAATAATCACTTCAACAAATATAGTCTTATATTCACCAGTTAATGCTTTAAAAATATACTTATCCTTTAACCTGTATGTAAAATTGCCTCCATAAGTATTATTTAAAACCTATTCTGTCACATTGTCTTGCTTGGTAGTATTTTACTGGTACAAAATATAGTTTAGTATGCCTTTTTTATTCCAATACTAAATACACTGCATTCATCATGTATGTAAAGCTAGAAAATGTTTCATAGACTGTAATGTGTATACAGTGAACACATATGTGTATCACATCTCCTGGCCATCACACATAGAACATTGTGTATCAACCTTATTTATTTTTACATATAATGTAATTCTAGTCTAAGAAAGATCATTATAAATTCATAGTTAAAGCACTTTGTAGTAAATATGAAATGATGAAGTTGTATGAAAAACCTTCAAAAATTTCAGCAAGAAATTTCTTTTCTTTTGGTTAAAATGAAAATTCCCCAGCATGCTTGATACAAATCATTGATAAAAAGATTCTCATTTAATATCCTATATGTCATTAACATCATAGAAACAAAATGTAAACAAATATGATCTTAATAAATTAGGATTTACAGCGGAAAACAAGTATAATACTGTAGAATAATTACCAGCAATAAAAGTGGATGACCCATTCCAAAATGTTATATATGTGAAGTATGTGTGATTTGAAATAGCCAAAGTTTCATGAAGTAATATTGGAATAAAAAATAGTGTCAAAAAATAAGCAAAATGATTAATATATTAGTGGTTTTGAAGGACTCTCCTGATATAGCAGCAGAGTGCATATCCTTATCTGATACTTATGAGTTGATTGATAACAATTTTCATTTGAAATCAGAATTACAACCTAAATCATTTACTGTTTACTTTATTATTCAGTCACAACATTAAGGATCTAATTTTTAACCACCAATACACAATTATAGATCCTGCCACAGAACAGTACCACACAATGTAACAAACAGCTATTTCACTCTGTATGCCATTAGCAAACTCAGACCTGCTTTAATTGTGAATCATTAGTTTGTGGTATTCACATCGGGGCACAGGATCAGATGTCTGAACAATACAATGAGCTTGTGTAGTATATATTGAATACGTTATGTACCTATTGTAGGTAACAAATCAGAAAAAAAATGTCCTGGACATTGCCAGAAGTGCTGAGGGGCATAAATATCTGATGTGTGCAATGTGGGTCTTAATTTCAGAATACAACACACCACACTCAGAGGTACTTGCATTTAAAATGAAGACAGTTGTAGGTATGTGTATAGTCAGACTGTCAGATGGAGTGTGCCAGTTTTCAATCTGTTTGATAACACTTGTGCTAAAATCATTTATTAATTTTTTCCCTATCTTTTTAATAACTGATATACTTTATATATTACTGAAAATTATTTTGATACCTTGTAGCAAATGTTGATTTTATAAAACTTAATTTCAAAAATTTCACAAAACAATATTTTGATGAAAACATGTTTCATATGAGAGAAAGTAAAGTTAAATGATTAAGTATTGTTGCCATTAATACTATTACTCAGCTATTTTGGTAACTTTAAGGAAACTGTTCTCTCTGAAATGGATAAGAAGCACATTCTTTTAGCAAATACCAATATATTCTATAGAATGTTATAAAATTCAATAACTGTCTATTTTTCCTCATGAACAAAAATCATTTCTAAACATCACACATATCCTTGAGTCCGGCTTATTATAATTGCCAATATCATTCTATATTCATAAGTGTCAATTTTTTCAATGTCTATGCACAATCTTTATCATTGAGTGTGCACGTACACCTGCATCTGCATGGCTGACTGAAGCAACATTTTGAGTCCCGGCATAAAGCTACTGATTTCAGAGAAGTTTCCCTGACTGACCATCTGGGTATATACTTGAATGCCAGCATTGTAGTCATACTGTTGTATTGCCTGGACGATCTGGTGCAGTCCAAGTAATACATTCTGTGATAACTGCAACAAAAATACCTCTGTTATTTCTTTGATCTGTCACACAAATATAGCGTTACATCATGTTTTCATAGAGACAATTTAAATCTATTTTGGGTATTCCAGTATAATATCTGCTTCATGAGATCAATACAAGTTTGCCAAAAACCTACCACCAAAAGAAGTCACTAAAATCAAAACAGTATCACATCACAAATATGCATTTCCGCCATTAAAGAATTCCATGAATTAGTTCTCTTCTTATTTTTCCTTTAAGTAAAACAAAAGCTCCTGTAAACTTATTAATTTTCATGGGGATTTATGAGTTCTTAGTTTATTCAAGTCATCTGAATTATGATATTTAAATTATTTCCACCACTGTTCTATTCATTGAAATAACTAATGGGCTACAATTGGACCAGGCAGATAGTCATTAACAAGAAATTATGGCAAGCTTACCATCTCATTACGTAATCTGTCATAAAGTATTTCTAGTTTTTTGTTAACATCTTCTAGCTTCCTCTTCATTGGCTATAAAATAAAGGACAAAACAAAAATATACAACAGAAATAGCAACATCCAAAAACAACACTTATATGTTCCATGGTGTGCTCAACTATATCATTTTTTTTGTGTAGACTTTGACTTTTGGGACTTGTTGAATATTGCTTATCGACTTATAAACAGTAAGTCACAAGTGAAATTTATGCTTTTTTATGCTCTGCTCTCCGCACACAAAAGTAGATGATTAGATAGAGAGGGGGCTATGAACAAATGGACATACACTAGAACTGACACTAACACCTCCAATGTAAGGTCTATACAGTTCAGAATTTGAGGTGCTATATCATTAAAGAAATATTGCAATTTGATACCTTTTGAAACATAACGGGTATTGCACTTTTGCAAATGCTATAAATGTAAAATTTTAAAATATTTTTTGTTCTGAAATGTTGCTGAAATTAAGAACATATATATTGCAAGGAGATGAAGCATTTATAAGTTTGTTCTTTCTTCTAGTTTTACACTTACAGCATTAGAAGCAACAGAAGAACAGTTTTTGACTAGAGAACCAAATATGTCCTGCAACACCTGGTGTTCTGAGGGAATTGGTTGTTTAGCAACTGGCTGCACTGGCTCTGGAACACTAGCACTTGAAGGAGGAGCCTAAACAAAGCATTGACAATTTTAATCCACAGTAATATCAGTGATAACAAAAATAATCACTATGAATATTGTTAAAATAAACAGAAAATAGTAATAACATAATTTGTTGTCAGGATCCCATACTTTAATCAGGTAGATTCTGGTACACTGACATCTTACATCACTTTAATTATGATTTGGTTTCATGTTTATAAAAGTTGTCATTTCATCAAAACTGAACATTTTTGTTTTACAACCTCATCATGCTCAACATTCTTTGTGTATGTTCTGGCCTTACCTGAACCTCTCTTTGATGCTCCTGTGGGTTGTATAAGTTGGAGTAATTCATGGGTGCCCCTGGGGGTCCTTGGTCTGTGGGCATGGCCTGCTGGTTGTTGGACTCGGGTGTGACACCATATAATGGGGAGGTAAGTGGTGCCTGACTGTGGCTTTCTGCTTGCTGAAAAGCAATGAGTTAATGTTAGATGCTATAAACAAGTAGACATAAAACATATCATAAATGGTAAAAAATCCAAAAGTTATCTCAATGAAAGCACATCTGGGGAAAGTGTACCTTTGGTTTCCTGTCCTTCACCAATGGTGGGTCATTCCAGGCAGTTGCAGGTTTGTGGTCCATGAAGGAGGACTGACTGGGTAGAGTACTACTGGCTCCAGCATGTTGAGGAGTACCTGTTTATACAACAACCATAAACTCATCATTGTGTTCAATGAACCCATAATGACATATGGCAATAAGTTTATATGAGAAATAGAGTGTACCTTCAGAGATTATTTCTGAAAATATTCACTATGAATGATAACCAAATTGAATATAATTTCATTAAAGCGAAGTCTTCCACATACAGATATCAGGTGGACTACTTTTTTCTTGGTGGCACATTTTAGACTTAGATACCTTCCACAGGAAGGTGGTATTTTTAATAGAATTACACTAAAGGATAATATGTGTAGTTTCTTAACAGAAGGCTTAAGGAAGCCAAACCTAGCAAAATGAAATTGCATTCAAGTACCATTCTGCTACTTGTGCCTCCTAACATGTGCTACAGTTTTAAAACCAAACATTACAAGATGTGTGCTTTACACGACCAAGAAGGATTGGAGCAGTTACAGGTCAGAACATCATAATACACCTACTTGTCATGGTGTTGCTAGATGGGTTGTAGATGTTGGAAGGCTGCGATGAAGTCATTTGTGAGCCAGCTGGGTTCACCCCCGAGTCTCTGTAAAATGTCAAGCACATAACATTATTATTAAGAAATCAAAATGAATTCTAACGTTTTTCCTGCTTTTATGTGTTTCATGCAACATACTTCTAGTAACTTGAATTCTCATAGGGTTTCACACTTCAGTCCAACAAACAGCTTGTTTGGGGTTGGACTTTGAAGATTAGGTTTAAAATAAGCAAGAAAATTTATTATATCCACAAAAATTCATTTTGACCAAGAATAATGTAATAAGTTGTATGTTTCATGTCTGGTTGAAACTTGAGTAGGTAAATACTATGTCAATTCTATTACAGAATCCACATATTAGTTACTTTAATTATCAAAAAGAAGACCAATATTGAAACGGTGCTTCCAAACCCCTAGAGACATACCATTGAAAGAAAAAACCAAAACTGAAAACATTTAACCCAATGTCTGTTTTGTTGACTTTAATACTGGAACTCAAATATATATAAAAAAAAAATCCCCTTTTATCAATTCCCTACATTGTAAATACACTAAAATCTCCTGCGGAAACATTCAGCTCTAACAGCTCAGTTTGAACTCTTTTCAGTCATGTCTAGAAAGAAAAACTCTGAATACTAGATTTGTAGAGTTAATCACTTAGCTGTGATTTTCTCAGTACACAGTCCCACAGAATTATAACCATGTTTGATGAGCAGTTTAAAAGAAGTTGTAGAACAAATCTGAATGTTGAGTCACACCTACATATACAAAGATTCAGCAGCTGTTGAACACAGATTTGAACTATCCAACATACTTACCCATAGTAAGGAACATTTGATGGCATGGACTGGTTAGGGTAACCTGGCTGATATAACTGTTGGCCATAGCCTCCATATTGTTGAGAGGAGTCATAGCTAGGTACTGGCTGAGGATATGATGGGTATTTGTGTGACAGCAGTCCTGGAAAATAAACAAGAGTGCAAGAATTCAGGGCTCTCGATCTGCCAGATTTGGAGCCGATATTCGGCCCCATTGCAAAATAGTATCTTTTTTTCCCAATTTAGACCCCAGGTTTTCCCAATTCTAAGGAAAACGCCGCTATTTTCCCCAATTCTAAGGGCCCCAGGCCCCAGTCCCAAAATGGGGCATGAGAGCCCTGGAATTATAACAATGCATACCATGAATCTAAACTCCTGTATCATCAGATGAACATCAGCAATACATTGAATATTGAAATGGATAAACCAACACTTGTGATATGTTTCTTAAACGCATTCAATACCTGAAAAAATATTCTGTATTCCTACTTTACAGACTTTGGACCTCAACTTTTGACAAATACAGGAATTGACACTCAATAACCAGTCCAGATATCGACTCATACCTTTAGATGGTGCACTGGCCCCAGATGCTGCATTTGATCCAGTTGTTGATGTCATTGAGTTAGGGTTGTAGAATTGTCCACTATAGGTCTGCCCTTGACCCTGAGCGGTATTCGTGGAAGCTTGACCATTCATTGTACCATAAGGAGATGTTGGGTACTGATTAGGGGCTGTATAGCTTTTGCTGCCTGTTGTATTGGTGTTGAAAGTTGCACCAGCCTGGGTCTGGTACATCCCAGATGCCTGTGATGGTGCATTTGAGGCTGTCCTTTGGGTGGGGTTCTGTACAGGAGTAACTCCTTGTGGTATCAAATTGATCTTTTTGAATGGGAAAGGAGGGGCTTGGACACCATAGCTACTCTGTCCCAACGCATGGAACAAACGATCCTTCAGTATGGCCAAATTTACCTAAAATCAGATAAGAAACTGTCTGTAGTCTTGTCAACATGGCAATTAACTACTGAAAGACAGGATAATAAACGACCAAATGTTATCAAGCTGTTAATTTTTCAATACAGGATTTTTTCAGTAAAAATGTGATAATATCATTATGTATCTGCTGATTATCTGAATGTTGACTGACCTGGAACAGAGGCAAGAAACACATAATGTAGGGTCATATTAGTAGACAAAGGGATGACAAGTCTCTATTGTCCAGGTTTGCAGAGAATGCCTGGAGGTCACTTGTAATCATGTACTTGGGGGTTTAAATGACCAATCTGTGGAGAGTTTCCTCAGAGCCTATAACTAACCTCAGCTGAGTTACCAAGGTATCTCATGGCAGTGTCCATGCTTCCTTGTGCAGCAAGTAGACTGGCATAACCATTCAGTTTATTGGCTAGGAGACCGCTGGTCACTTCTTCCTCTTGACCACGTGATAAAGCCACAGCCTTTCTAAGAACCATTACTTTCTCTACCAAGTCCTGTAGAAAATTCAAGTATGTACAAAGAGTATTAACTAATGGTTTTGATTTCAAATATTTTCTGAATATCAAAAATGTTAATGCCAAGAACTTGAATAATTTTTTGACCTTTGATATTGGAACAGAAACTCACCTGGAGGCCCATTGGAGTATTGTTAGCATGTGTGTTGCGTTGCCAGTTCTCTACTAGTTTGTCCACATTTCCAGAGCAAATATAACAAAGACTAGCATACATCGATAAGTTGCCAGCTCTCTCCGATTCCAAGCGAGTTGCAAGTGTGTCTGTCAACAGGATACAAAACAATAAAGTAATTGTTAAGAAATGAAGTTTTCTGAATATACAATATGTTGACAATACATGGAGACAATCAACAGAATGTACAAGGAAATTATTCTAAAACATATTTTGATATGAGAGTGGTCCATTTTCTTATTTCTTTTTTTCTTTTTATTTTCCTTGAATAATTAACCCTTTCAAATATGCAAGATTCATTTGGAACACAATGTATAGCAAGCACAGTGATTCACCACTTCACAAACCATATCACAATTGAAGGAAGGGACATAACTCTGAGTAGACTTGTGTAAATTTTCTATATGAAAATTTCAAAAACTCACCACATAAAGAAACAAACTCGTCTTGTGATGCATAAGTGAGTATGAGAGCTAATGCCTCTTTCCAGTTGTCAAGGTTACAAGTCTGCACAATATGTGACCAGTTGTGTGTAACCACTGTGGATATCAACTGTAAACATAAAATCATAAATGCTGTAAATTGTATTATAATTCATAGAATGAAAGTGAAGAATGCTTTACATATTCTTATTTTCCCTGACACTGAACTACATCAGAAAATATAACAAGATTTTCCACTTACTGACAAGCTAAACTGTTCGTAAATAAAACATACCCGGCCTAAACTGCTTTTGTTTTTTGTGAAGTATGTTTTCTGTGTACGACTGAGAAGGTCTGGACCACCTGCAATAGCTAGGAGGATTGCTTCAGCCATCTTGTCCTCACTCAGACAAATATCCACGGCTGCCTCAAAGTTCCCCATAAGTAATGCTTGACTCAGCAAACCATCAGCATCTGGAACCAAAATTGTTGACAAATAAATTGATTGCAAAACAAACAAAAACAAAAAAACCAATTAATTCATAGCAGTAGGATCAATTTTGTACACATGTGAACATTTTCACAAACAATTGAATGTATCTATATGGTAGAAAAAGGCAGGATATGCCTTCAAATTATTTCAGTATTAATGACAACTTTCCAACATCTCAGCACGGCATATATACAGTCAAACTTCTATAAACTGAACATTAATGATTTGAATTTCACAAGGTATCAATTTTTTTGTCTGGTCACACATTCATTCCTATATATTACTACTGACTAACCCCTTTAGGAATCAAAAGTTTTATAAATCAAACTTTCCAATGTATCAATGTTTTTCACAGAACTTTAGCTATGATATAACACAGTCATTGACACCTCATGATTTGGACAGATCATTTTTACCTGTACTCTGTACAAGTATTTTGTCCCACAACATAATTTCACACCTTTCAACAAAGAGTGCTAACTGACAATGGGATAACAACAGCATGCAGTCATTGGTCCTGTGTTACAAAGTTTATTAATGACTGGACACAGACTAAAGTTTAATTGCTTACTTACAAGTCATGATGTTTAATCAAAGATAATGGGATGTTGTGTGATTTTCACCACTGCCGTTGCAGCGTTAGCGTAGAGTAAGGTCTAATTTACGGAATTATGAAAAAATCAGGAGAAATCCTGAACACTTGTATGATGATTTCACTTATTCCCAAAGTGTCACTTTTCAGTTTTAAGCAAGAAAGAATGAGAAACACTGTTATTTATCTGTCAATCATGTGTTCTCATGCTGATTCAGACAAATTGTAGTCAGAACATCGGCAAACACCTTTGTAATTTTTATGAGCTAAGATGTGCGAGTCTGGTCCTGTCATTTCTGGACAGAATACATTATAATATTAAGTTTCTTTCTTTGTTTATGTATCAGTCTTAAAACAATTACTGTAGCACGTGAAGACCACTATAATGCTGTGTGTCATTTTATTTAAAATCAATCCATAAAATACATAACCAGTATACTGTGTAACATGATGGCATGAATCTTAATGTAATCACATAATGTTGATTTCTTGTTGATGTCTATTTAAAGTTTTTTTTTCATGAATGAAGATGTTTGATTAGAAGAAAATAATGTCTACTTTCATTTAATTTTGTGTTTTGGTATTTATTGTCTTTGTTCAGGTAAAAATGTTTTGTCATCAACTATAACATTGAACATGAAAACATTGTTATAACCCACCAGAAATGAAACAAGTCTCGATGTATCAAAGTTTTTTTGCTAGTCCCTTAATTTTCAAAACAATGAAGTTTGACTGCATATAAAAATTCAAACTGTAAAAGAAATCTTCCCGACAATTCATATGATGAAGTTATCACTGAGGAAAGACCTGCAGGTTGTATGAATTTCCTGTTAATTAAAAGTGTTTCATATTTATTATGTGTTCCTCTAGTACACATTGTATTTCTTAAGAAAAGTGGTGACAGATGTTCAAATGCAAATTAAACATGTCTGTAATGCTTTAAGAAGAATCCAGGAAAAAATAGTAATAACAAGAACTGAAAACAGATAAGAACGATACATTGCGAATGGATTGGACCATGGACAAAAGACCATTTGAAAGACCAAATCAAATAATTGTGGACCAAAAAATTTTATTTGTGAAATACTATAAATATCCTTAATCACACTTAAACTTACCTGCATCTGTAGGTTTGTTATAATCACACTTAAATTTACCTGCATCTGTAGGTATATTATAATCACACTTAAATTTACCTGCATCTGTAGGTATATTATAATCACACTTAAATTTACCTGCATCTGTAGGTATATTATAATCACACTTAAATTTACCTGCATCTGTAGGTATATTATAATCACACTTAAATTTACCTGCATCTGTAGGTATATTGTAATCACACTTAAATTTACCTGCATCTGTAGGTATATTGTAATCACACTTAAATTTACCTGCATCTGTAGGTATATTGTAATCACACTTAAATTTACCTGCATCTGTAGGTATATTATAATCACACTTAAATTTACCTGCATCTGTAGGTATATTATAATCACACTTAAATTTACCTGCATCTGTAGGTATATTATAATCACACTTAAATTTACCTGCATCTGTAGGTATATTATAATCACACTTAAATTTACCTGCATCTGTAGGTATATTATAATCACACTTAAATTTACCTGCATCTGTAGGTATATTATAATCACACTTAAATTTACCTGCATCTGTAGGTATATTATAATCACACTTAAATTTACCTGCATTTGTAGGTATATTATAATCACACTTAAATTTACCTGCATCTGTAGGTATATTATAATCACACTTAAATTTACCTGCATCTGTAGGTATATTATAATCACACTTAAATTTACCTGCATCTGTAGGTATATTGTAATCACACTTAAATTTACCTGCATCTGTAGGTATATTATAATCACACTTAAATTTACCTGCATCTGTAGGTATATTATAATCACACTTAAATTTACCTGCATCTGTAGGTATATTAAGAGGTGACTGCGGTCGGTCCTTTGCTTTCTGCTGTGCTGCTATGTCATCAAAGGCAGATAACTCATCCACACTGCCAGGTGTCTAATGATATTGTGAAAAAGCCAAAAGTTGTTCAACAATGTTAACAGTGTGAAAGTCAATTTAAAAGTCTTAGTCTAAACGACAAAACAGCTCTATAGACCAGTACAAAGAAACAACAGATCAAATGCCTTGTTTCTATTTGCATACAAGTTTCCTGTTTATGTATATTTACTTCAAATGAATGATATCGGAAGTATTATCTAATGTCAAGTTGAAAATGGATGGAAATCAAATATTCAATCATTTCAAAAGCTGAAGATGTATCCAATCAATAAAATAGCTTTTTTTGTCTTTTGATCCTAGATAAGATCACATCACAACTCCAAAGCTATTTAACAGTGAATTCTAATCTTCTGTCAATGCATGACAATATTTCCCTAAGCATTATCTAAAAGCAATCTAACTATTGTTTGTGCTCTTATGCATGTACAGTTCATACATGCAATATGCAGGATTAAAATATGTGTTCATATAATGGCTTCATGCAGTTTAATTGATAAACTTTCACCTAATACAAAGTATTTCTTAGTCATGCATTTAGAAGTGACTACTATTTCAAATACAATTACTGAAAGAATCAACAATGTCTTTTTCTTTTCTATTTTTACATGTCACATTACACCAAGCATTTCTATTATGATTTCAGATTTAATTTTTAAGTATCGACAGATAAGATAGAAGATGGATTGTGTAGGCTGGAGTAAATTTTCTGTGACAACAAAACAAACCATAAAATATCATATGGGGACAATGTCAATACATACCACGGTATGTAACTACATTGCTAGACTTAATGCTCAATTAAGGAGCTCCAACGAATTACTACCAGAAATTGAACGTGTTCTGACCCACCTTCTTATTCTGTGCAGCTATGTCATCAAATGCTGATGAGGCTGACGAGTTGAACTCATCTCGACTAATTGGTGTCTAGATCACAGAAACAGGTTAAAAATTTAACTAGTTCTAACAAAAGCCAAATGTAAGCAATCATTTTCAGCAAAACTAAACCTTGGTTTTTCGCTTGAATTGTGTGTTATGTTTGCAGTACCAATCATGCAATATATAAAGGTATATACTAATTGTTCATATTAAGATACTGTATCAATAAGAAATGTTCCTTATATTTAAACAATTGCTTTAGTGATTGCTTATGGAACAATAAAGATAAAACAAATGTTCAATATGGGTGATATGTGAATGATTTTGTTATCAAATGATTTACCTCCATCATCATCACAAAGAGAACTGTTATAATTAAGGAACATTTCATGTTGTCCAGTATGGCTATCAGTGCAAAGCATACAGTTGTTAAACACTTCACCAAAGGCAAACATAAATGGGTTTTACATACTTGTGTAAAGTATTCAAATTAGGTCTACCTCAACCTTGGAACATACATATAATTTTTTTTTTCCATGAACAGTTTTTAAAAATGAACAATTCATAAAATTTCTCATAAAATCTTAAATCTTATTTCAACACAAATCTGAGCTGCCAAATTTATCTATATGTAAGTTCCACTACAGCTAACGTATGATACATGCTGTTCAATGTTGTTGTGCTGTGTATCAATAAACAAATCACGTCAATCAAGAAATAAATACACTGCATGATTGTACAATTTCAAATTTCAAATACACGAAATGCATTTATCATTAATTTTCAATATTACATCAACAAATTTTTCATTTCTACTTTTCCGTAACTGCCTGTATTTCAGTTCAGTATTGTATTTTTCAAATGAGTAGAAAGTGAATGTGACCAACTATCAATATGATAATCAGCATAAAAATTGTTTTAAAATTCTTGATAAATTACCAAAATATATATATATATGTACTGTGAGTAGTCGGATTAAGAAATTGTACATCCCACTACTTGTTAACAAAACCAGTATTCATAGTTGGCTAGCAATCATATCAATCTTATACACAAAGATACTGCAAATGTGGCTACTACATTACAAGATTTTTAATGTTTTTGAAATTTTCATCTAATGTTAGATGAGAAATGGAAAGTCAACAAAATCACCCTCTGGCTCTTAGAATGCTAGGTTGTTTTAAGACACTAAGGATTGAATTAATTTGAAATCAAACTGTCTACAGTACAGAAAGCAAGTATGAACTCATTAACAAAGTAAAGGCAATTAAAATAAAACCGAACATTGATATTACTTCAAAATACTTTAAGGAGAATCACAAAGCATCACCTTCAAAAATGTCCACATTTTGTAGTATCCTCGTCATCAATGCAAAAGTTAATACACAAAAACCATACATAGGTTATATAATAACAGTCATTTTAGAGTGACCTTACCTTAGAACCAACACTAGGTGAAGCCTGTCCAGAACCTGACATGCCTCTTTGTAGGTCCTGAAACATTAACCAATAACATGGAAGCATTTCTAATGTTATACATAAACATGATAGGTTACACCTCCACAACCAAATCATTTCACATTTATCAGGTGATGATACTCTTGAATACAATTCAATGGAAATTTCATTTGTATGTTTGTTGGGTTTTATCACTCCATGAACAGCTAGGATCATTATAGACAGGGTCTCCGTGTAGTACCTGTTTGCTACCTCACTGAACAACATACAGGAGGCCTGCCACATGCCATCCAAAGTAATTAGAATAAAGTTTTTAGCACAAGGACTCAACCAGATCTGCACAGACTGGTCAATTTCTCAGCTTTCCTATTAACACAAACTATCATGGGTATGGAATGTTACAACTCACACCTCAAATCTTCACTTGAAGCTACATAGGCCAACGCTCTAACTGACTGAGCCATCATGGGAATTTGAATACCATGTAAGTTTGTATTAAGATAAAACTGCTGAACGTATAGACTGATACACTTTATGTTCAGCTATCACTTAGTTAAGAGATTTAAGAATCTATTTTTTTGTCACAGTAAATACAGAATACAGTTATGTAAGTATCTTTTAGCTAGACAAGATCTAAGGCGATATGATCATCAAAAGTTACTTACAGATGTGTCCAGTAGAGACATTTTCTGTGCCAACTCTGTGGCATCAACGCCTTGACCAACGACTGAATCATCTCCTGATGCGTGTTTTGCAACCTGCACAAAAATATGAAATGACAATTTTCAAAGGTATTGTAAACATGAGGTTCAAAATGTCAAAACTGGAAGAAAAAAGACTTGTAAAAACTATGCATCTGTGCCAGACTTATAATGAATACCTGTACCTTTTTGGCCAGATCTGTTTTGTCATATCCCAGCAACTGTATATAGTGTTCTCGTGGTTCCTTTTCAAAGTTCACCTGAAATTTGAAAAAAAAAATGTGTCTAATACATGATCTTGGGAGGAAACAAAGACTTTGCAAAACTACTGTTAAATAAGCTAGAGTTGTTCAATATCAAATATCAAGTTATTTTAAGATTCTTTTTTGTTTGTTTTTGTTTTGTTTTAAAAATATACATCCTGTACATTGATAGAAATAAGAAATTTAATACCAACCCTTAAAAAGTTCCAAATACTCTCTTGCATTGCATCTTGACAGTTGGCTGCTTTCATGGCACAAAACTCAACATACTGGCCATTCATCAGTGCCTGCTCTAGCTGAGATGAGGATGTTATCAGGTCAGTTTCTGTGACAACCTGACTAATGAATACTTCTCTTGGTGGCGATGGCTGTTGTGATGATGGCAGGGATTTACCTCCCTCAAATGATACCAATTTGCCTCCAAACTGTCATCAATAAAATCTCCAAGAAATAAGTGATATATTCTATAAGGTTTCATAATTAAAAGTTATCAATACATTAAATAAATGTTTTGACATTTGATTCTGGAATGCAATTTACCTCAGGGAATATAAATGGGTAAAAAATGTTTCTTCTGATAAGCCAAGCAAGAGTTTCTGATATAAATATATATTTTCATTTCTGTTTAAATTTACTCTTAATTCGTTAGGCTTCTGTGATTGAAACAAAAAACGAGCCAGAGTAACTTGTCAAACGTTTTAAATAAGACCAAAAAAGGTCTGGTATTACTTGTCACAAGATTTTTTTGACCAGAAAAGTTTGTTCTGATTTGTCATTTCAGCAATATTATTCCACAGATACTTACAGCAAAGGATGCCCCACAAGGTCTCCGTAGCCACTTTGGTGGTTTTTGCAATGGCATCACATCGCCTTGTTGAGAGGCTTGACTGGCAGCCCCTTGTGCAAATGGGTCATTGGTATTGAAAGAATCTGCAACCTATAGATCAGAGGAGAGGATTAAGCTGTTTTCAAAACAGATGCTATACAATACCATTAGAACTTTATCGTTGTTCTTGCATTGCAACTGAAGGAAACATAATTTGATTTGAGGGTAAATACTACTGACCTTGTTACATTGATGTACTGGATGACCTCCACCCATTAAGGAGTACATTGTTACATGACCATCAAATGATGAACTGGAGATAATGCCAGGATTTCTAGGACACCACTGGACGTCAAAACTCCACTGAGTACTTGTTGGTACCTCATATACAACCTAAAATAATAAAAAATAAAACCTCAAAAAACACTGAGTAAATCTTTACTACATGGAGAAGACAGTGAGAGGTATAAATATCTGGAATCAATAATTCAATAATTCTTAATGTATGATGAAATTGTTAGCTTTTTAACATGTGTTTTCTTCACCTGCATTAATTGAAAACAAAGACATATTCTTTTCAGTATTGAAATAAATATGCATTACCATATATCAAAAACTAATTTGTTCATTCAGGATATTATAAACAAAACAAGACATATACAATCACACAAACCTCTCCATCTTGTTTGCTGCTATTAGGGTTCCAACATAGAATTCTATTGTCCTTTCCACAGCTGAGTAGTAAGTCAGAGTCCTGGGCACACCATGCAATATCTAACACACCCCTGAAATATTCAAAACCATATAATGTAAAAATAGGTCCACTTCAAATCTATCATTTCTCTTTGATTATGTTGTGAGGTTGTAAAGGATGTATTAAATCTAATTGTAGTCCCAACACATCTAACAACAAAAACCTGACACTTCTCTTCTGAGGATGAGGCACAACTTCACACAATAAATAATACATCTACTTAATCATCGCACATTTCTGACAAGTTCATTTTCTGACCAGGGTGGTTGTTTCTGATAGTAACACATAGTAACATTAATCTCTAGAGCTACATAAGAAATACATTATTTTTGTCCCCAGTTATGAGGCCTATTTTGAGATTTATGGAATCAAACATTTAAATGATATCACAGTTGTGTCAATATAAAAGTTACAATCAGACCATTTTATAATTTGAGATACTTGTCCTCAATGCATAAATCTGACTGTATACATACCATTGTTTGCCTAAAAGATAACACCCTGTCAGATACCAACCGTTTGTGGTTCTCCAAGACTTTCACTGGAGATGTAGCATAGCGGAGGTCCCAGAGCTGTATAACTGGTGTATGATCATCTTCAGAAGCCAGACACAATTGAGTTGCAACCTCCGGATGCCAAGCTACAGACTTACTCTTCATCTATGAAACAGAAAAGAAAATTGAGAGTTTCAGGAATACATGCAAAACACAATAGCTATCAGAAGTCAGTTTATCCCCCAAATAGAAAGTTACACTGATCTATAACACATTAAAATAATTAGCATCTTAAACTCACATCTAAAAAGTTACATTACATGTACATCTTTCCAAGTCATCTTAAAATATTTCCTTTGCTTTTAGGGATCTAGAACATGAAAATGGCTAAACATTACGAAAATTTCCGAAGTGATACACCATCTTACCCGTGACATGCTTTCACTGATCTTTATGATGGGCTCATTTTTACGGAGATCCCAGACAACACAGCGGGCAGTGAAGGTGGAGGCCAAGATGTGCTGGACTTGCTGATTCCATGCTACACATGCTACCTCCTCCGGGGGCTGTAACAGATGTAAAAATTTATAATACATTTTTGTTGAATTGATAAATACACTCGACTTGTAATGGAAAATATATATGTCTTACAGAGAGTTTCATCCTTTTTTTTTGACAGAAGTTTTAATCTATTGATAATTTGCACATAAAACTTGTATCTACTTTTTTCTATACTTAAATGATATGGAAACACCACTGGTTATAACAGTTTAATGTTTCAATGTTAAATTAAACAGAACAAATATTGCATATATATTCCTTTTATATTTAGGGGATATTTTTTACTTTTTACACTTTAAAAGTGTCAATCAAATTCTAAAAATAAAAATAAAACAGTACTGATTAACTGTCAATAGACTGAAAGTTTGTAACAAAATTTTAAACTATTTGTATGTCACTTTCTTTTCAAAAGTGGACATGACTTACATTTGATTACATCACACTTGACTGAATATAAACAAATAATTGTGTACATTGTTGAATTTGCTGGATACATTTTACAAACACAGCCACATCACCACACTTTCCATGTTAATTCACTGAGTATTAGATGTTATGAATCATTCAATGTGTTCTTTGTTGTAACTGAAATAACAACTACTACCAGTTTCAAACTATGTATCTTGTTCCCGGCCCTCATACACCATGTTCTCTCCCTATCTATGTTCATGTTGTCAATCTTACTTGCAGATGATGATATTAAATGTTGTTTGTTTATATGGAAGTAAAATCAAAAGTGTACAAGTCATCTCTAAACTAACAAGTCAATTCAGTAAAATTACAGTACCCCACTGAATGTGAAATCATATCAAACTTTTTCATATAGCTCAAAGGTCAAAATATAGGTCAGTATGACACCATACCCTAATTAAATGTGAAGTTCCAGTGGTAAGTAGTGTAGGACATAGAGCCTGGACAAAGGTGCAGAAGGACGAAGGGACAGACACAAAAATAGAGTCACCCCCATTCATCGGTTAAATCTAATGATAACAAAGCCTTTAAATCTTGAAATCTACATATCAAGGGTATTCTCACACTTGATCACTGTCTAGTTGTAATTGTAAAATTAAGAAGTAAAGTTGGCACAGTGATGACATCAATGCAGAACAGGATGAGAGAAACAGGCTAACTCTTGACTAGTAAGTCCTAACACCCCTCACTTTGAAAATGGCAGCTTATCAATCTCTCAAGGGGTAGAGCCAATGCCATGATTTCTAGTGTAGATATACAATGTTCCTGATATCCGTCCTTTGGATACCTGGCCCGCTATGCAGGGCGATTGAGGAATAGGGGCAATCAAAGACAGTTATCAATTGCAACAAATTCCAGGTAAGTTTAATAATGTTTATTAATGTGTCGACTGGTTTCGCCCAAACTTATGTGGGCTTCATCAGGACCTTAACATTTTATAATGAACCTGTAATTCCAATTCAGTATTCCATAAGTGACAACACCAAAAACTAACATTAAAAATAAAAGTCAATTTTGGTGTGGATTTTATAGAAGGAAACAAAAGGTCATAACTCCTCACATTGTTGGACATGATTTTTTTTTTTTTTTCATTATATGTAAAAAAAAAATTGACACTAGGCAACCCCAAAACATAATCACATGCAAAATGATTTGACTATCAGTTTTTTTAGAAGAAAAGTACATCACATATGTCTCACACACTGAGAAACATAAATTGAAAGACTTATGGAAACGAATACAATAATTATTGCAGTCTCAACTTCTACTATCAAGTGTGAAGTATACATCAATATCCAAGTTGGTAAATTAAATATACAAGTAACATGTAGACCATTACCATTTCCACAACCTGTCAACAAATTTCATGTTCAATAGGTGTAAATCTGTGTAATATTTTGAGCTAGCACTATTGTACAGCTGCTAAAAATACCATTTAATACTAAAGTCGTATATGGTAATGTAGATATTTCCAGCATTCAATTTGGCTTTAATAAAATTTGAAGATGAGGAAAGCCAGCATAAACAGTAAAACAAAGTACCAACTTTTTTCGTCATACAACATAACCAGCTCTTCAAAATGATTGTACTGTTCCATGAACTGTAACTGGTAAAATGTCTTTGGTAGTGGATGGCATTTACTTTATAAGAAACTGTTATGTTACTACTGAAAACCTTGTTTCATACATGAAAATACATTTTTACCATGTTTTCCTGTATTCAAATCAGCTATACTTCAATGCTTGATATTGTTAATGTGGTATTGATTGATTCTTGGTGTAATGTTCAGAACTTTCTACAATATATGGTCAGCCAAGAAAGTCTCTCACGGTAAAAGTGAGTTGTAGGTTGACACACCTATCCTATAACACTAAATACACATGGCTTCGAAGTTAAGCAGCATAATCCATGACATATTTGCAGGAGTAATAACATTAAAAGATATTATATAAACAATTTATATTGCAAATACTTTTGTGTGCATATTTTATGGAGATATTTTCAAAAACATGACACCATTTACTCGAGAGTTTTTCTGAATACATGTCAAACTTATTACAATTCCATCATTAATTTACAAACTAAAGCAGTACACATTATAGATTTTAATATACACCTCAATGGCATATAACTAATATGCCTGTTAAAATATTTTCAAACAACATGAAAATCAATACACACAATTAATATGTGGGAAAAATCCCTTAATGGTCCTGCCTTTTGAGTAAACATAGATCTAGATCTAGCAGCATTGTTAACACTGAGCAAAACCCTCCACAAACATGCACAGGAGGCTGAAGCTACTCACCGTCATATCTAACTCACTGGCCTACCAAAGAGGAAATACAACACACATACAGGCATGTTATCATTTAGCACACAGTCCAATACCAGATTTAGTATTTAAGCTTCACCTGATATAACCTAACAGTGTAAAATAAAGATTTTTTATTACTTCAGATTAATGGTGTGTTTATTATGTCTGTGGTAAAAGAAGAGTACACAGAAAACATAATGAATAGTGTATAGGAGTTTTTTTTTAATGAAAAATGATATTTTTTGTATCAGAACCATTTGAGGTCTGTTTTTCTTTTCCATTTTTATTTTGGTATTAGAAATTATCTCACCGGAGAAGATTTTTTTATCATAAAGAATCTGAAACATCAAGTATTCTATTTCAGACTTCTACTTAAAGAGCCTGAACTTTCGCATTTACCAAATCTGAAACATTTAATTGTTTACATTAGATTGGCATCCAATAAAAGGTTGGTAATGAAAAAAATTCAAAATTACTTTGGAATTTTTTCCATGCTATTTTCTAAATTAATATACTAGTATACACAGTGAAAAAGTATGACAGACTGCATGTATTAAGAAGCTATTAAATCAATAGCAGTACTTCCTCTTTTCCTTTTAAACCACATATGCACCACTACACAGTTACTGGGAAACAGAATTGGCCTGCTGTGACCCACTGCATGATAGTATGCTCAAGGCAACAAATATTAACATGCATACAAAAGTTATTATAAGCTTGGTAAATAGATCAGTCATGCACTTAGCTTGAAATTAGCAAGACTTCATACATCTAAATTACCTCTGGTAATTTTAGTGTTACTTGGCTATAATATTTTGATGAAACGAATCCCTACCTGTGATTTAGCCCCAGGTGTCATTGGGCTATCAGGTTTGTTCAGGTCCCAAATGTGAATCTCAGAATCAGAGGCACCAGTTGCTAACAAGTTTGTCTGTAAATATCATCAAAATAACTAAAATTCATAAGCAGCTTCTTGGCTTCCATGTAGAAATGTCATAACTGGTAAAATTGGTGAAGGACTACATATTGTTTTAAGTAGAAAAATGGTCATTTTTATTTCATTCAGAAATTGGAAACTGGTTATTTACAAACCTGAATATGACATCAAAAAACATTACCACTCGTTGAGTGAGAAATTTAACAGCATCAAAAGTGAAGATTTTTCAATGAAATTACCAAGCATGTTTAAACCATCACATAATAATACTAATTCGTCCCTTCCATATCTACATATGTTATGATATTGAAAAGCCCATTGTGCTTGACAACAAATCCTCCATATTTAGGAGTGAGATATATCCAATCTAGAAAATCTTATAAATCAAATTAAAAACATTTTGTAATTTTGAGAATCAATTTATGAATCAATATACATAAATGTATTTTGAAACATTTTCCTTTTGTTTCTTTTAGAAAAGAAGAAAAATAAAAGATTGTCATAATCTATAAAATGTTTATATTTCTAATGTAGCGTACCTGAAAAGGGTTGAAGTCAAGAGCCTTAACAGCACCAGTGTGTTTGTCCTGTTTAAATTGAAGGCAATCCTTGTCCCCTCTAATCATCTTGCTGGCACTGTAACAGTACACGCCTCCATTGTCTGTTCCGCCAACAATAAACCCTGCACCATCAGCTTCTGCAGACATCCCATGGGAGCCCCACACAAGCTTGTGAAATCTATAACAATCCACACAACAATGAATGAAAAGTGAAAGGGACACTGCTATGATGCTAGTATTTCATCTTTACTATGTAACTAAACTTTTTTCTATAAAAACAAGCTTGCCACTTAATTTGAACAGTTCTTGTTAAAACACTGACATAAGACTCTGTTTTTGGGGGCATTTAAATGTGACAAATGTACTTGTAACTGTCTGGGAAGATTTAAAAATAGATATGTACTGTGCTTCAAAAGCAAAATGGACCTTTACACTATATTATACATGCATTAGTTATTTACTCTAAACAAATTACTGTCTTCTCACTATATCTAAGTCATAAAATATCAATTAGCAATGGCTACCAGCAATTGTTGGATGATTTGTTTTGGCAAGTCCACAGCAATACTTCCAAGCTTGTTATGAGTCCGGTTACAATGATATAAAATGAGTTCTTGATTTTGTTTTAATTTTAAATACATGTATGATAGCCCAAACTTAAACTTAAAATTGACTAAATTAACTGAAACAAAAAAACCTCTACTCTCAGCTTCCAGGATTGTTTCTCAACACATATGCAATATCCAAATGATCTTTTCCAGATTCTTCAACTTCAAAATCATTGAAATGAAATTATAACAAATTACCTGCAGTCTGATGGGATAGTAGAGACCAGTGGCATATTGAGAGTTGAATCTACCAAATTCAGGCTATACACCTCCAAAGCTGCTGATGTGCTGTAGTAAAAATAAAAAATATTCAAAACTTTAAAGCTAATAATGTGCACACAGTTCTAGAAAGCAGTACATACACAAGTGTATTTATATTTCTCTCCAGTATGTGTTATGAAGTAAAACAGAAAAATTCTCTAAATAAATGACAAAATATTAGTAAGAGAGCTAACAAATCATACCAGCAAACTAAAAAGTTAATAACAGAATAACAACTTCTCAATTGGTGTGTCCCGATCTGAAACTCTTTGCTCTTTTCTTCAACTCTTTGTTCTTTTCATCAATCTGTATGTTAGATGGTGGGACCGTGTGGATTGCTGTAGTTTTATATTTATACCTGAATGTGGCATCAAGTTGTTGTGCCGCTGTTCCAGCAACTATATAGATTGGGTACTGTGCAGCAGGCGACCATGCTACATTGGCCGTCCGCTCAATCTCTTTCACTCTCATCTTGAAAATTGTTTTTCTTCTAGATCAAGAATTCTTGGGTTCTGTATTATACCTGAAAAATAGAAAGTTTCAGATCAAATGTAGAGATTTAACATCATTTTGTTGAGTACCCAATCATACAAATCATAAACAATTTTAAATCTTTATTAAATTTACTCTTGGACCTCATCGACCATGTATTTCTTATGTTTATTTATTCCAGTTTATACAAGGTAATCATTATTACAAGTTACAATAACAAAGAACCATTACAATAAAAAATGATTAAACAAAATCATGTCCTGTACTAGTACTGTTTTCAAACATTAAAAAAGACAGAGACAATGCAAGCAAATGTAAAATATTGTTAGAGACTTTATTTTGCATCCCACACCTAAAAATGTCAAATTTAAACATGCTCTGAACAATAACAGCCAGATAGTTTATTTGTATGTATTTTCAGTTTTTTTCTGATGTGCTATTAAGAGAACGCTTTTCAGACACATGGAGATCCCATCCTCAGTAAACATTTGTTGGAGATGCAAATGGCATATACATTATTAAATGAATATGGGCTGTGTATGGTAAAAGAGCACATTATCTTGAACATAAATGTATGACTTATGACTAGTAGTTAAATAGTGAAAATTGTACCCTCCTAATCTGTTCGAATATATAATACACAGAGCAGATTTAAAACTGTCTATCATAACAGAATCATGACGGTGTTTAGTTAAGACATTCCATCCCCTCTTATTTTTCGACGCCTTTAGCAATGCTGAGATAACAATTCCTTATATAAGTAAACAAAAGATACATTTCTTCATTGAAAATATTTCCCAAATGATATATACTTGTGCCTCTAACAGCTAAAAATCATCACCTATTCACTGTTTTGACATTTGTCGGCCATGATGGAATACAGCCGAAACAGAGATAAGCCGGTTTTAGTAACGAACCTTCATATGTTGCGACGAAATCCTTCATTCCTCGTACTGAAAACAATTACCAATAGATACATATATATACCAAGCATATCAATAAAGGATAACTGAACTTACCACGTAGCCAATTCCACAAATAAATAATCCACGTTTTCCTTTGCTCAACGTGGCATAACTTGCTAACTTCCGGTTTCTTGGTATTCGACCTTGACCATTACAACTAAGTCGACTACACAGTTATATTCAGAGAGGCGGGAATATTCAAACTTACTTATTTACCTGATATGCTACAAATACGATTACGTTTAAAAAGTAGATAGCATCTTTATTAAATAGTAAAATTTAACAAAGTTAAACATACGTAAATCATATCTGAGATGAGAGAAAAACATATAATTGATATGAATTTCTTTCCAAGAAGAAAAAATTCATCGGAGGAATTTACTTATAAAGTTCGCGGCCCGCCATTGGCCAGGAAAGTTACCAAGCTGCGAACAACAGGGGAATAGACTAGTTATTAAGAAACGAAAATAACAATAGAGAAACGGGCAATAGATTTAAATTAATAAATTATTTAAAATGTATGTACACAAATGTAGACCAATTAAAAAAGAAAATCTCTTAACTAAGTATTAGAGTAAATGATACAAACCCAGATGTCATTGGCATCACTCAAGTTAAAGCAAAGAACAGGGTACAGCGCACTAAAGCATCAGAATACAATATTAAAGGTAACGGAAATTATAAAATATTTAGCAAGACTTTCGAAAATGCAGAGGGCAGAGGTATGCTGTTAATGATAAATAAATGCCCGGAGACCAAGGAAGTAAGCATTCCTACATCATTCCAGGATAATCTATTTGTATCTATAAAAAATAATTATAGCTCAAAAATTTTAATAGGCCTTATATAGATCAGATTCCTGGTCAACAGAAATTAACAATAGACTACAAGACTTGTTGGTGGAAGCTGTAGACAAGGGCTACAAAGGCTCTTGATAATGGGGAACTTTAATTACCCAGGGATAAAGTGGGATTCTTGGAACACTAAAGGAGATGATACAGAATCTAGGGAATACAAATTTATAGAACAGATTCAAGACAAACTTCTGTTTCAACATGTATCGGAACCCATCAGATGGCGAGGAGGAGACAACCCAAACATCTTAGACCTTATAATAACTAACAATGAAAGCACAATATCCAAAATCGAATACCAAAGTCCACTGGGCAAGAGTGACCAGTGCGTTTTGGTGTTCAATGTTACATGCAATATGAAGATTAATCTCTAACGGAAGAAGAAATCCTGCTACAATAAGGCAAACTATGCAGCAATTAATACAGAACTAAGCCAAATAGATTGGGATGAAATTACACAAAATGCAATCTCCACCAATGAAATCTGGTCAAATTTTAAACATATATTAAAGGAACAGGAAATAAAATATGTACCTTCAAGCTTCATTACAGCGGGACGTAATAACAAACACAGCTGTCCGGTGGATGAAACAACAAAGGAGGCTGAACGAAAGAAACGTTTTTTTTTATCGAAGAATGCAGTGAAAAGTAAAGATACAGAAACATGACAGGAGTATAACAGGATCAGGGACAAGGTGAAGAAACTAACTTGTAAAATCAGAAAACAATATAAACAAAATATAACTACAAAGGCAAGTACGGACCCTAAAGCCTAAAATCAAAATCTACAACAACGTCAGACATCTCTACTCTAACCCAACAAAACAGACAGATGATAAAGAAAAGGCGGACATACATTTCTAATTCTTCAGTGATATTTTTGTGAAGGAAGAAGAGGAGGAAGAAATGCCATGTCTACCCCTGAAGGGGGTCATCGAAGAAATGCCACTTCCAACGGTAAATGAAGGAATGGTACTGAAACTATTGAAGGCATTAAAACCTGAAAAGTCTCCAGGTCTGGATAATATACACCCAAGATTTCTCAAAAGCATTGCCCATGACATAGCGTACCCACTAACAAAATTATTCAACCAATATTTATCAACGGGAAGCAAACCAGAAGACTTCAAATTATCTAGAGTTTCTACCGTATTCAAGAAGAATGACAAGTGCGCAGCTGTAAACTACAATCAAGTAAGCCTTACATCGGTAATATGCAAAATCCTAGAATCTGTAAGATAGGAACATGTCTACAGTCATATGAAGAAAAAATAATAAAATTGATAAAATTGAGCAAGTTCAAAGAAGAGCAACTAAATGCCTACCTGGCATGAAAAATCTTATCAACAGCCAGAGATTGGAAAAGCTACCAACTTTAGCCTTCAGGAGAGTCAGGGGAGAAAGGATTGAACTGTATAAAATCACCAATGGAATGTATGACCCGGAATGCTGCAACTCTGTCCAACTATGGGCTGAGGCTACTCAACGACACAGTCGGCGAGTCAACTCGAAAACAATTTTTCCAAAACGAGCTTCAACTAGATTACGCAAAATCTTGTTTCAATAAGATCAGCATCGATCTGGAACAAATTACTGGACCATTTTGTTACTGCGAAAAATGTCAATAGGTTTGAAAATGAGTTAGATTGTTACTGGAAGAACCAAGAACTTTTCTTCAACTACAGAGCTGAAATAACTTAACTATTGAATTAACTGTATAAGAAACATTGTTTGATGAGAGACATGCATAATTTATTTATTTATTATAGAATCTTGAAACTTTACATGCATTATTGAGTCTGGTATAGAGGACTCGTCACGTCTTGAACCAGAAATAAACTTATCTTATCTTTCAATATTTACTGAAATCTAAACATTGGTGAAAAGGAATGTGTCAGGACATCAATCTTGCTTATATCTCAGTCTCGAGATAAACGATAAAAATCATGCTAAAGAAACAATATGAAATAAAATGTTTCATTCCTACTATCATACATTCATGATCATACAGTACAAAATTATTTCATTTTAAAATATCCATTTGTTACGATATCAAGGGCCAATATCACGTTACTTCATAAATATTTAATTTAAAATAATCAATGATACAGAAACAAACACTTGTCATCTATGGAACTTTTAAAAGGGAATTTCAGACAAGTTAATACAACTATCAGAGCGAGACAACATTAAATTCTGATGTTTTTGTGGAAACCTTTTAAATTTGTTGGTCTTTTGGATCTTATAAAGCCAAACTCGACGAAAATTTTGTCAACCAAAAGTTCGATCATTTTAACAATATCTTCTTCCGTATATTTCTTCTGTGATTAAGACGATTTTTCACGAAATACGCTTCAGTATATACATTAATTACACTCATTGGCCTGATTGGAAGCGCGCGAGGAGTCATTGATGTGGGAGGAAACCGGAGTACCCGGGGAAAACCCTCGTGGTCGGGAAGGTGACCACATTTATTTTCACGTCCGTGCCGGAAATCAAACCCGGACGCCTAGGTGAGAGGCGATTGTGCTATCACTGCGCAACCCGACCACCTTTTCACAGACATGTAAATATCAAAGGGAGAACGGCAAATCCAGTAAAGCGGGATAGAGCATCATGTTGAATTTGGATTTTAACCAGGCAGCAGACAGCCTATGAATGCCAACTGAAAGCTGTTCGTTCATCAAATGAGGGAATATAACCTCAGTTTGTTGACATTACTTGCAATATATCTTTGGTGTTAGTAATTTATGAGCAGGTAGTTCACGACTGATGTTGGTAAGGTTACATGTAGCAATGCCATACAATGGTAAATACTGGAATATATGACAATTTCATATTAGAACGATATAACACTACTTTGACGAGGATAGAACGATTACTTATAACGCCATGACGAGCCATGAAAACGTTTATCGCAAGTGTTTTGATATAATTTCATAACATTTTGAGTGATAAGATATATCTAGAGATCACGCATTCTAAGTCGACCATTGCTTATCTAGCTAGTTACACTATATGTGAATATGCCAGGAACCATTCAACGTCATATTTAAGTCAAGGTAGGTGATCCTGAAAATCAGCTGCTTTTACGTAAGATTAAACAACGGCACATCATCGTCAACAACAAAGCAGCATGGAAAGGTCTCTGTGTGACATCTGGCATGATGTTGTCTTGTTGGTTCTTGAAAGTGAATAGATCTAAAACTTAAACCAACACTAAACTATTCTGTACTTATGACAGCAGTCATCGTATGTTTATTATCATCATGACATTTTGTATAGGTGGTTTGGGGGCTATCAGGGTAATACTTGACTGGTAGAAAAAAAGGATAAACAAAGCGGTAAGAGCAGTTAGTATTAGAGTATTGACATCAACATGATCCACTCACTAATTTTAAAAGTTAGATTTGAAACAAGATTTTCCATGGAAACATCTCAATTGACCTAGCACATGTATAAGAACTCGCGAGAAAATATCAATGTGCGTATCGAGAATAATTTAAGATAGCTATTTAAAAGAGTACTGTTTCTTTACAAATATGTTTTTGCATATAGTAACATGTCCCGTTCCTCTTAGATGAATTAATCATCATAATCCTCAGGATATGTTTTAAACATCACATAAAGGGGATTCAAAGAAAAATAACAAAACAGGTGCGTGCTGCAAATCGAGAAATTGTTGTGACAATACATCGTTTTACTTAATGCTATCTATATCAAGGTGGGAGTTTTATCTTGTTTGATAGAATCAAGTTTTCGGTAAGTAATTCGATAAACACTGACTAGTTCCATTTCTATGTTGATGTTGAGCCTGTACATATATTTGCATTATTAACTGTTTATGACGTTAATCTATATCCGTGATTCCAACAGGGTGTTTTAATCCATCTATTGAACTTTCGATTACTTAGCGTAAATTGCATCTTGTCGATATATTGCATTATCTAGAGGCACTAACTATGACATTTAAGTCATTCGCATCGGTTTATATAGATCTATTTAATATAACCTCTAGAAATTGGTGATCATGACAGTATTTATTTTCGGCTAAAACACATTGATTTCTCAAATGATGGAAGAAAGTAACATGTGATCACCCTTCCATTAAAATATATGAATCAACAAGGAAGTTCAACAGAGAGATAAAAAATACACTTAGATGAATTAAAATTATAATGACCCCAAATTTTATCTGTCTAAAGTCAGTTCCAAATGATTTTCTGATAAAGTTTTCTTGTCCACAAATAGAAATTGGAGTGATAATTCATGACTCATTTAACTGGCCTGGTGGCCGTATTTTACTTCTAATGAAACATGAAATCAACAACATTTATATAAAACCTATAGTGGTAATTCCTATAACGTTTCAATTATAACATTTGAATATCATTAGAATCATTTGTTCTAAGTAGATTCTAAAAATGGCAGTTATGGCTATTTTGATTTTCATTTAAAACATGATAATTATTGATTTATTTGCATAAAATTTCATCAAAATCTATATACATAGAAGAGTTTATGAACGACGGATATTACACCATACGAAAAGCTCACTTGAACCTTGAGCTTAGATGAAATTATTTAGATTTTTAGAAGTCTGTTATTAAAGCCACAACTTACGCAACTTTCACTAAAACATCGAAGAGAAAAATGCTGTATTTATATCGATATAGTAAAGACTAACCTATCAGAGAAATATTTAAGACGATATCATGTGTTTGTATTACTTCCATTTACCATTGTTGATGAACTCAAGTCTAAAAGACCGTTAGATGTTCCCGTGAGCAGTCAGTATGTAATATAAATATGAAAAAGTCATATTCAGACTACACAGTGAGCTCTCAAAGTATTATACATTATATACATAATGCATTCTATATGTGATGTGACTTCATGAAAAGCGCACAGCACGCGCGACTTGACAATCTGTAAACGTGCCTACTGCACCTGTATATTTGAATATGCAGATTGATCACGTGGGACCCAATCCTACTAATATTTATTTGTTTCGATTTTTTACGTCAAGTGATTCATAACACGTACTACTCAGCTTAAGTATGTTTTTATCTTCATGTATATTTGTATGATTATCAAGTAGACGTTTACTCAGAAACTCTCAATATTGTAAATTTGCTAAATGATGCGTGTAATGGATCTTAATGCAAGTCAGAAAAACTTTAAGATTTCAGTTGGTGAAATGGAGTGGTGTCCGTTAGTTCAGACGTTGCTGCTGGCATCTTGCTTCTGTGTAATCAGCTGTCAGAGATATAACATAATAAAATCAGCATCTGGACCAGTCCGTGGGATTGCTGTGCAGAATCGAGGTGAGGTGGTTTATCAGTACCGGAAAATTCCTTTTGCAAAACCTCCCGTTGGTAGACGGAGATTACGGAAACCTGTTCCATTCGGCAAATGGACCAATGTTTTAGATGGCACTTCCTTCGGACCGTCCTGCTATCAGAAGGCTGAGTCTATTTCACCTTCTTTACCGAATACGGAAATGTCGGAGGATTGTCTGCATTTGAATATATACACACCAATCAACGCCTCTCCGAATAATACCAAAAGTGTAATGATCTGGATACACGGTGGGGGTTATTCAAAAGGCCAGTCATTTTATTATGACGCATTCAACCTTGTAACTAAAGGGGATGTTATAGTGGTTACTGTTAACTACAGATTAGGTTTTCTTGGATTCTTCAGTACAATGGATGACGCTTCGCGGGGTAACTATGGATTGTGGGATCAAAGGCTCGCAATGCAATGGGTTAAGGCCAACATTGAAGATTTTGGTGGAAATCCCAATTCTATCACAATCTTTGGTGGATCTGCCGGCGCGTTTAGTGTGGGGTTACATGCTCTTTTACCACAAAACCAAGGTCTATTCCACCGGTTAATTGCCGAGAGTGGAACAAGCACTTCACCTTTGGTATTAAACATGGAGCCGAGGGTACATGCTAGAGGATACGGCATCGATCTCAATTGTCTGAATGAAAAAGATGTGAATTTTGATACTGAAATGTTACTTGAATGCATCAGAGGAAAAAGTTCACAAGAAATCATACAAACTCAAAACAGCTACGACACATTCAAGTATGCTAACCATGTCCTAACCTTACCCAACGCCCCTGTAGTTGATGGAGAATTGATCATACACCATCCCAGCGCCATAATAGCCAATACCTCGTCGAATGAATCAAGTTTCTTCCGCTCTCTTGATGTCATTATCGGTACTACTGATTCAGAAGGGTCACTAATTAATAATGATTTCATGACTTACCTTGAAAAACATTACAATTTCAATTATTCGCGTTCAATACCTACGACCGTGTTGTGTAATTCCTATGCGCGGATGATTGCAAAGGATTTCTTTAATAACAATACCGACGTTTCCGAGGCTATATGTAAGAAATATAGCAGCACAGATGAAATTGAGCAGAGCAGAAATATCGTCGACATGTACTCCGATTTTTCTATGATTGCTCCGGCATTAAGATCTCTAGACTGCCACTCTGCTCCAGGACTAACAATGGGTCGAAACACTTATCAGTATTTGTTCACTAGACAATATTCATATCAAGGTTATCTCCAACCAAACTGGGTTAAAGGGGCTTGGCATGCTGCAGAACTTCCATATCTTTTCGGGCCGTCAATGATATGGTCTGTATGGAATCCCATCTCTTTTTCCGATGAAATGTTGTCAGAGAAGATGATTAGATACTGGACAAATTTTGCCAAAAATGGGTATATATCACGTAATTTGTGATTTATATGCAAATGTTGCTTTGGTAATAAGACTTGCAACAGTTCTACATATTATATAACTCCCCAGTCTTTTTCTTTAAACATTTAAGTAAATTTCTGGTAAAGATATTACAAGAAATACAAAGCAGAAATATAGAGTAAGAACATTGATGTAGCAATAAACAAAAAAGGTATATAAATATTTCAAATTTTAGAACTGTTAACACCTTACCAGTAAGAACAATATACTTTTTACCACAAGAGGTTGATCAAGCTTAATTACGTAAAACATGAGAAGCAGCACATGTTCCTTTGTCTTTGTCCTTATCCTTTGTTTCAAAAGTGTTTTATCTACTGTTTCTATCTCGTTTTTCTTTGTTAGCTCACCTAACGGCCCGGATGTCCCCTACTGGCCTAGATATGACTCAATGGGCAAGCTGTATCAGTATCTGAACTTCAACATAGCTCCAGCATATAATTTGAACTCTGAGAGGATACGGTTTTGGAACCAGTATCTCCCATCACTGAATAGGACAACAGCCAACGTGTTGTTTGGATAACGCCAATCGTTTCTAATTTCAAATATTGAGATGTGGAACACAGAAATATTGTTATTGTTTTGCTGTTTGCGTAGAAATGACTTTAAAAAGGTACATGTTGTAAACGTGTTGTCTACAAGTAAGCACTTTTTGCAGTCATCAATAATCAGGTATCCAATTATATTGAGCATAAATGTTATCTCATACCGTTAAGCAAATCTAATGATTGGACTAGCCGATTAATGGAACAGAAAGAGGCTTGTAATGTCACAATACAGACGCCAGGAAATGTAGCATTTTAAATAATTGGAGCAGTGGTGAATTATCGACTCATGTTATATTTACCATACAAATTTTGAAGTATAGTAATGAAGTAAAATGATAATGAAACACAATGTGTCATTTGAGACTAGGACATCATTAACTTCGATTGACAAAATTTTACAAAGCGAGTGTAGATAAAGCAGAAGACGTTTGCACTTCTGCCACACCTGGTCTAGTTCCGTGTCTAGGTTTTCATCTAATTTCCTTCTGCTCGCCTTTTATGTCGTCGCATCAATTCGCATCCCATGCAAGGAAGTTTCTAATTACTGCGGCAGCATCACAGTCATTATGGTCCATCCATACGGAATTATCAACTTCAACGGTTGAAGTTATCTGTTTATTAGAGATTTTCAACATTTTTTGTGACTTGAACTCATGTAAAAGCCTGTTATCTATCCACCATCCCGAGTAAATGTATTGTTTATAATGTAAAGGTAAATGTATTTTGAGTAATTGTATACAGACAATTGGTAGGACATCCCACTTTAAGTTAAGTGAAATAAGACCTTAACAATTGCACAGCGAAAACATAGCAGTCTGTTTCCTGGTTGTGACCATAGACATCTTTACACTTGCGTCAAGGGACTGTTGTGGTTTCACTGTCAATTAAACAGATCAAGAAAACATCAATATGACATTATGTCAGTAATGCACATGGTACATGTGTAGAAGTCTAGATGATAGGAAAGGTCCAGCTGTCCTAAACTTGGATAAAAAAATTAAAACGCATTAAAGTGCCTATCATTTGTTGGTGATTATAATTGTTTTTTCTCGAATATCAGTATGTGGACATATTTATAATCCAAAGTCAAATTCACGTTAAGTAGACCAATACACAAACAAAATACAGATTTACACATAGACTCCTGATAAAAGTGCAAAGAGAATAAGACCAGGTGTTCCAGACGAGTAAGCATCTTCTGAATCATCGACGACACCCGCCATGTAAACTTGGCCAATCCAAGTAAGTAATGTCACGTTCTCAAATAAGAACAAGGTAAACAGTACAGCAACCAACTAGCAAACTTGCCTTGATGGAAATTCACGATTGGGGCATTGAAATCATCACGTTTATCTAACAGTTTGATGGAAAGTTGTCCATGTTGGTTTTATTGAAAGAAAAGATCGATATAGGCGGTTGTTTAGAAGAGTCTATTGTGTCCTTGACTTCCTATTCAAACAAAAACAATTCAGTCAACATTGGGTCACATTTAGTAAGGCACACGTATGTCAAGGTTTGACCAAACTCGATGAAAATGTTGTCAACCATAGACTCAATCATTTTCATTACTTCATCTTCCGTATATTTCTTCTTCGACCAAGATATTTTTCATGAAATACGCTTCAGCCATATATCTCTGACAACGTTCACCTTTCTGAGAAGGGAAAACGCTGGTAACAGGAAGACGAAAACATTATTTTAGTTTAGAATGGGGTATGGTTGTGTTAGAGAGTCGAAAATTAAATGTTTATGTAGAAGAAATATTAAGTTATAAGAGTATGTTGAAAATTGGTTAAAAGCTCTGTTTGGTAATGAAAGATATTACACCTTTTGAGTAAACAATATCATTATAAGATAAGTCTGATTTAATAGTACTTAAAATGGTAGTAAGAAGCTTTAATAGAGCAACTAGATGAGCCAGCAATTAACCGTTGTTTATATGGATTGTTGTGGAGTTTAGAAACCCATTGTAAACAAGGGAGGTGCGTATCTTTATCATTAACTGGCAGTCTGAATGATTGAAATACTGAAGCATGTCTGCAAACAACGATCAAGTTATTAGATGTTTTGCCCGCAGACATCACAACATTCAAAACTTCATCTTAGTCGGGGAATCAATTTCTGAATATTCGAAGGTTCATTCGAGTATATATGCGCTGCATTTGATTGCTCACAAAAGTCAAAAGGCAATCTGCAGCAGTTTTTGGTATTTAATTAGTTTTATATTGATCAACGTCCTATCAACAAATTGTACCGCATTGAATGTTGATATTGTTGAATTGATAGTTACTGTATGTTATGCAGCTGATATATTTACTAATAGTTTCCTTATTGCAAATGGGATTTAAACGGCCGTTTGCAATCCCACTTATTCAGGGTAACTGTAGTATAGCGACGCAGTACAATTAATCGGTTGCATTTTGAAAGAACTTAAATATCCGCCAATCGAAAAGTATCTTCCTGTCTGTAAGGAAGGCTTCGGACTCTCTCCATCTTCATCGTTAAAAAGTGACCCCGGTTCCGTTGTCAGCTGAGGCAAGTTTCCAACGTTACAACGAGAAAGAGAGAGCAAGATAGGAAATAATGTAATATATTAAGATCCCAAATGTTGCAACGGAGGCAGATTTATTTGGTCCCTTCAATGTCACCTTGTTTGAAGACTTTGAAGAAATATAAGAAATATGTGTATCTGTACTCCTTGTTATGCATTCAAGCTGTCAACACGCCAATGAATTCCGGTATTATGCTATTTTAGAGTAATATTATACTGTAATTCTATTGTTGCCCTACTGAACTGCGTGTTTTTAATCGACGCACATGTGTTTCTACGTATTAAATCAAGAGTAAGAGTTACTCCCCTTCAGCTGTTGCCTGTGTCTTGTTGCGAGTACAAGAAGGTATTTAAGAAGCTTCATGTTTAATAGCGTAAAGCTGTATTTCAGTAACCAAATATCCTGTCATACAATAGCTGATTACACAGACATTTTGTCATCGGAGTTGTGATAATTCTTCCGAAAGCACATTACAATGTTTTTGTCAATCAAATAAGGAAACTTTCTCGGAATTGCGATTAGTGTGCCATGGGCTATTTTTTCGAAATTCAAAGAAACAACGTGAATGCTGACGATGAAATTTTGAACTCAATGGAACGTATTTTTTCCTGTAAAACGTCATATGCTTACATAAAGATTTGTTTCTAAACAACCATGCTTATATGGTCCGTTTTATGTGTGGTTCAGGATAATGATTTGAACCCAGATTTAGGGTCGTTTTTAATCACGATATCAAACACTAAATATATATCTTTTGTACAGTCTTCGACATCGCAGGTAACAAACTTGAAGTCCCCCGACGTTTGCCACGTATCAATTCATTAGAATAATGACACGGTTTAGAATATACACTTGTACCATACATTGTTCTAAAATCATCAGATATATGAACATTACGAAAGCTGTATTATTATGAGGTTAGCGCAGCTTCCCATCTGTCGTTTTGACTTTTCTTTCGATCGCTATATATTTTCCTCCTAAGCTTCAAACTTTAGGTCTTTAGCATCACTGACGAGTCCAAGAAGGACTAAACAACTGTATGGTGCAGTTTAGTTCATTGTTTTGTTCTACTGGATCTAACTCTTAATTAGAATTAAAAGGTGTCTGGCCACCCGCAATCTCGGAGCTTGTACGAGGCTGTATTTGGAAGGGCGCGTGATGATCGTGTAGGCCTCCTAATGGTAGTGCGGACATGGAATCGACTTTGTAGTACTATCATACTGAAATACATGTATAATACTTAAGACCCACAGCAGTACACTCAACCTAGTCATATTTTAACGACAATGAGTTATACTACTGTAATACTGGGCAACAAGTATATTACAATAAATCATTTTCAGGTATGTATTTAAATATATATATATATATATTTGTGTGTGTGTGTATATTTAGGAACAAATTGTATGGTTACCTTCCTACAAAAAAAGTTGATAAAATCCGTGTATGACACGAAAGATCAGAATTGATTTGTTATTGTTGCAATATACTCGTTTATTAGAAGACAGAAACACCTGTCCAGCGACAGAATTATATATCTGTACAAGCTTTTATTGTCCAAAGAAATAGATGAGCCTTATGCATTTAATCACTGAATCAATTGGTCATTTCTCCTGTTCACCAACGGTAACGTTCCATTTAAGGCATTTATTCGGCGGTCAGTAATTGCATGTTTCTTTTCAAGCAATACAGCCCGAATCGATAGTATCAGAAGCGAATGTTACTAGTGACCCAATCTTTAAACAAAATGAAGGCATTTTTTGTTTTTTGTTTTTTGCTTTTTGTTTTTTGTTTTTTGTTTTTTTTTGTTTTTTTTTTTTTTTTTTTTTTTTTTTTTTTTTTGTTTTTTTTTTTTTTTTTTTTTTTTTTTTTTTTTTTTTTTTTTTTTTTGTTTTTTTTTTTTTTTTTTTTTTTGTTTTTTGTTTTTGTTTTTTTGTTTCTTTTGGGTTTTTAAGGCCTATCGTCGTAAGGTCAATTGTAGCTGTGATCACATTTGTTGTTGGGTTTTTGATCAGGTATTTACGTTTCGGAATTTCTCGTGTCATTTACCGGCATTCAAAGTTTAATATCTGTATCAGTATCACTGGAAAGGAACTGAAACCACCGTGGCGTGTATGTAGCATAAGAAATTTTCATGAAACCAAAAATATGGGCCTGCATCTGAAATGTGATGTAAAACACAGTGTACCCGAAAGGAAGTATATAAAAAGATACATGAAATCTATAAATACGACACTTAAAATCTCGTTAATCAGAAAAGAAATTCTGCTAACCTTTTAAAGTTGTCGGTATGTAACCAGTACAAAAGTAAACGACGATGCTGAAAAGCTTTTATCGAGGTGAATACACAATCATTGTATACAAACTTCTATCTAGCACAGCAATTAAACGAATGTTACATATCGCATCGTACTCTATAAAGA